TTGGGGTCAGAGAAGGGAAAGCAGTGTTCGTCGAAAAGAACATGACGAGAGATGTGGACTTTGTTGGTAGCAAGATTATAACACCGATAGCCTTTGTGGGTGGAGCTATAGCAAATGAAAACACACGGTGCAGAACGAGGCTGAAGTTTGTGACGAGTAGTGGGGAGAAACCAAGGGTAGCAGAGTGTACCAAAAATTGGGAGACTGGAGCAATATGGTTTTTGAGAGTAGATAATTTCGAGTGGAGAGCGATGAACGAGCAGAGGGGTGGGCATGCGATTAATGTGAAAGACGGCAGTGTCGAACGCGTAAGACCACAATTTGAGAGGAACCGAGGCATGGTGAAGAAGAGCCAAACCCGTTTCGACAATGTGTATGCGTTTGCGTTCGGCGCAACCATTTTGTTCAGGAGTGTAAGGACAAGAAGAGCGGTGTATAATGCCATGTTCTTTGAGATAAGAGCCTAATTTATGATACTCACCGCCCCAGTCCGCTTGAAAACTTTTGATGGGTCGATTGAAGAATTTTTCCACCTGCGTGCGAAATGTGATAAATATGGAGAGAAGATTGGAGCGATGACGAGTGGGAAAAATCCATGTGAATTTACTATAATGATCGTAGAATAAAATATAATAAAGATGACCATCGACAGAAAGTTCAGGGGAAGAGCCCCAAACATCGCTACAAATCAAATCAAGAGGACTAGAAGAGGAAAAGGGGAGTTTGTGGATTTTGGCAACACTACAACCATGACACAAACGAACCTCTTGTTTATTGGAGACAAGCAGAGAATGACGTTGTAGGACTTGACAAAGAACACGTGAGTGAGGGTGACCAAGACGTTGATGCCATTGAGAGAGGGTGGAATGAAACGCACGAGGAGCCACTTGGTAGAATGGAGAGTGGCACCGAGTACAACCCATCTTTACTGCGACCCTGATGGAGGATTTTCTGAGAGCGGGAGTCCTTGATGATGAAAGAATCATTAACAAAATGAATAGATAAGGGATTAGTAAGGGTGAGAGAGTTGATAGAAAGCAAATTATGAGACGCAGAAGGAACATGAAGAATATTGGTGATATGAAAAGGGTGATTAGCAAGGGAGGAACCAGAATGAGAGATAGGAAGAGAATTACCATTACTAAAGGATACCTCGTCGGGCCCATGATATTCGGAGTGAAGAGCGAGATTATTAAGGTCGGAGGTGGAAGCGAGACGCTTCCGCCTTCCAGGCCTCAAGAGCCGTGGAAAAACCGACCAGTCGGGAGAGGACAGAGTCGGAGAGGAAGCCAGCTATCTAGAAGAAAACGAGTTGGTCAAGACGGAGCCAAGCAACATATTCAGGGTTCGATTGACCGCCAGCGAGAGCACGAGGCGGTGCGGGGAAACTGCCGTCAACAAATTTTGAAAGATCAAAACTTGTAAGAAGTGGGAGAAGTTGCATCTGCCAGAGGAGATAGTTCGTAGATGTGAGTTTGGTGGAGATGTGAGCAAGAAGGAGAGGGGTTGAGGGGAAAAATAAAACTTAATTTGCCGTTAGGCTGTTGGGCTCTGATACCATGTAGGAGCTGTGATTCTCTATGTATTTTCATTGATGAATGAATGGTCAATTTATACAGGAGATATACAAGACCAATGCTAGTAGTGGGAGCAATAATAGGAACATAAAAACAGAAGGTTGTTGAGTGGAGATAGTGGAGGAAGTGGTGTTGGACTCAGTCTTCCTTAACAGGGATGACGAAGACCATCAGTAGTTGTTTGACCTTCTTTATTTTGCTTTTATGAGTTTTTACTCTTGTCTTTATGTAACGAGCAGTCATGGGGTGTACCATTTCACAGTTAGATTTTATTATAGATAAGGACAACACTTGGTTGTCATTTTGGAATAGAAAAATGCAGATTCTTGTGGGGATGACCAAACACTTATAGCCAGAATTTTGAAACTTTTGTGCCAAATATAGCCATTTCTGTTACAAACTTTAACGGTGTTAGAGACTCTATCAGTTAGTTTAACATTAGGTTGACTAGGACGCCAAATCATCGCACACGACAGCGACAAATAAGCCACATTCGCCACGTAGGTGACACGTCATATTTTTATTTTAAAAACAAATGAAAAATTCATATATTAATCATAAAGAAAGAAAAGAAAACTTCACAAAAAAGGGACAAAGGAAGGAAGATCGTTTCTCCCCTATCACAAACCACTCCGCCATTCCTCTCACAATCGGAATACACAACTTCCTCTGCCTCTCCTCCGGCGCCACCAGCCCTCACCGGAATCCACCCAAGCTCTTGAATCTCGAAACCCTCTATAGCTCCGATACCGCTTGTCTGTTCGCCAGCGAGTCGAAAATCTCCCTCGAATAGTTGACCGCATTAGCACCTGCAGATTGAGTCCCGCTCAATTGATGATCTCCGCCAACAAAGTGGTGGTGGAGTCGTTGATTCAGAGAGGAGACTCTCTTGCCGACGGCCTCGTTAAGAATCTCAGAGCTAAAAATTGGGGGTTGGTCTTCTTCCTCGTCGCTTTTAGTCCCTCCTTTTCAGAAACCCCAACTTATCCGCCGTCGCCGAAATTCTACAATTGAAAGCCCTCCGCCTCCACGCCCAGATTTCAATTCGACGAGGACGTGAACTCATTCCTCCAAGGAGAATACATCAGTCCCAATCTTTTGCGGTATGTGTAGCCCTCGGAAGATGGGATCGAAAGCCCTCCAACGCCATCGATGAAGAAGATTTGTCATGTAATTGAAATCTGACTTCAAGTCTCGATTCATAGTCCCATTGTTGGTAGGGAAGAAGATGGATCTGCATAGGAGTTCGAGCAGCCGCCGCTAGACTTTGGATTTTGCACGGTGGGTCCCTGAGGAAGAGGCGACGATGAACTGCGAGTCAATGAAATCCATCTCTTCTGCGCGTCGAATCGACGATTGGAGAAGGTGAGACATGCAAGGGGATCTGTAGAGGGAGCAGTGGGGGAGCCAATAGCCGTCGACGAATTCCAAATTGGGGCTGGATTTTGAACAATGGCGACGCTTGTTGGGTCTCTTTTTTGCTTGTATTCTCTAAGTGGGTCTCGTCGGCTGTTGGGTTGTAACGATTGTTGTCGTCGAAGTCGGTTTGGGACTGTGGGTGTAGCTAATGGTTGTCGTCAGTGGCAGATTTGGGTATGGGCTGGGCGGTTGGGCTGCTGGTTTTGGCTATGGAGTTGGTTTCAGATCCAAATCTGACGGTGGCGAGGGAGCTTGTAGTGGTGGTGGCGGATTTAGTGTTTGAGGTGGGAGTGGGCGAAGGGGTGGTTATGGGTTGTGATAAAGTTGGATGATCATTCTTCGTCACCTTCGTCGTCTTCGTCTTGCTCGGAAGGCGAAGAGTTGGGTGGTTCAAAGCATATGAAGATAGACCGATAAAGTCGGTGAATGAGGGGAGGGTTTTAGAATTTGTAGTTCTTTAATTTTTTGTTTTTAATAAATTATTATCCACGAGGATAATTACAGAGGAAAAGGAAAATAAGAGCTCGTCACGTAAGCATCTCCGTTTGTCCAGTCACACTTAACGTTAACACCGTTAAAGAATTGGATGGTAGTGGCTATAAGTGGTATTTCTCCAAATTTGGCTATTATTGGCACAAATGCGAAAGTTTTGGCTATACAAGTGTATTTTGCCAAAGATAAATGATAATAGGTGAAAAAAACCAAAATATTTAAGTGGTCTATGCTGACATTTATCTAAATCCAACAAATTCCATCAACTATTAAGGGGTCGTTTGCTTCAAGGAATGTTATCATGGATTTGACGCTAAAAACCTAATCATAAGGGATTTAGCCACAACCCCTTGTTTGTCTGTCACAAAATTTTTAGACAAATATGTGGGCCCCGCGGATTTGGGGTATTTTTTTGTTCCAAATCCGTGGGGCCCACGGCTTTACAAATCCCACATGATTATTAGGGAATTGATGATGTGCAGAAAAACCAAGAGGCCAATTGACACTCCTATCCTCATTATTTTTCATTAAACCAAAATTGCCCTCTCCATCACCCACATATCTGTCGCTTCCACTCTCACTCTGCCCATTGCACGCCAGACCGAGGAAGCTGCGAAGAGGAGTTCTGCTGTGGGATTTCTGGAAATTGCAACGCGCACCAACATAAGCTTTCTTCGGCCGGCGATCAGTCTGCGTTCAGTCGGCATCAATCTCCGGCAGCGAACCTGAAACCCAGGTGAGCACGACACTCCCTTCCTTGCAATCTCCATCTTCTTCGTGTGGGCGTCTCCATCCTCCAACTCCGATCCGGCACCGACGACGAAGGACGCTAAAGAGGAAGGCGGCGGGCAGGGTCCTCCATTGCTCACAATTCTAGCTGGGTTTTTGGTGTTCTTAGGGTTTTGTTGGATTGTAGTTACTATTGGTACATGATTGTTCAACCTGATAGCCTTTCCCCCTCTTCCGAGATAGGCATTAGCCCCATTATTGGCCTTCTGGTCTTTGTTGCAGCTCTCTAATTTCTGTTTTTTTGTGGACACTAACGAGGAAAGCAGAGAAACGAGATACAACTGCAACCCCCATCCTTTATATGGGTTAAAAAAGGACAATAGCGTAAATGCATTTTTTTTGTTTCTAAAACCCAAACCAGTAAATCCATGATCAAAATAAGAAACAAACGGAGGACTTTCACAAATCCAAAATGCCCCAAATCCCAAATAAAACCTAAGATTTTTAAATACCACATTTAAGTAAAACCCCTCATTTTACAATCCTTGAAGCAAACGACCCCTAACTTTTATATTCATAAAACATATATTATTAAGTTTTTATCAATTAAATTTACTAAAATAATGTCATTTTACCTAGAATTCGTAAATCTATCTTGCCGATCATATTGGTTGTGTTTATGCCGATTTCATAACCGATACCGTTTGAACCAGGTTCAACCGGCCGGCATTGCCATTGTTTGCCACCCAATACGTGTACCGGTTCCCACAATTATATGAACCAGACCAACAAAAAATTCACGGCTCCCTCTCTCTCTCTCGAGCCCTTTGGCGGTCATTCAACTCACTCCCAGAAGCCTGTGTGCCGATCGAATCCCTCTCCGATTAGTCTAGAACAACGAAAACAGCATCTCAGCGATGACGGCGGCGACACTGCAGAACGGCGCTGTGTCCAACGGCGGGGGCAGTGGTGCTGCCGCTGCAGACACTAACGCGGTGGCCAATGGAAATCTGGGTGGCTCAAACCCTAGCTCCGGCAAGAAGCTGAGGGAGAGCGACCGTCGCCGAAGGAGGCGCAAGCAGAAGAAGAACAAGGCCCGTGATGCATCCGCAGCCGCCAATGTCGACGATAGCGATGGCGACGAGACGAAAGAGAACGACGATCCTCAGAAGGTACGGTCCCCGTGTTTGTTCTCTCCTTGCAGAGTTCTAGGGTTTCACTTGCAAATTCCTTCGATTTCGAACCTTATGCAGCCTGTAGTTCTAGTTTCCGAGTGGAGGATGGACGGTTACTAGCTTGTACGATTAATCCTTTTCCAGCTTCATTTCGATACTCACCGTGCTTATTTGCCGTTTTGGCGTGGTAGGGTTTTGAGCAAGTCGTAGTGGAATATGTTCCAGAGAAGGCAGAGTTGGAAGATGGTGTGGATGATGAATTCAGAAAGATCTTTGAGAAATTTAGTTTTGTGGAAGGCACTGCTGCTGAGGTATGCAGTTACATACTCCCAGTTTCATGTCAATTTTCAAGCCGTTGGTACTGTTTAGCAGACAATTTACTTCCTCCTTGGTTTCTGATACAGGATACTGATAAGAAAGATGAAGCGGCACAAGCTGTTGAGCCTAAGAAGAAGGCCGACTCAGATTCTGATTCTGAAGATGGAGAGCAAGATAACCAGCAGAAGGATAAGGGAGGCTTGTCAAACAAGAGGAAAAAGGTATGAGTATTGTTGATGCTTCGCTTGATTGGGTTTGTTTTCCATACCGGCTTTACTGGTGTTTGCTAACCGATCAATGGTGTTATTGGCAGCTTTTACGAAGAATGAAAATTGCGGAACTGAAACAGATTTGCTCAAGACCTGATGTGGTTGAGGTAGTTATCTATTCTATCCTCTGGCTTGAAAAAGAAAGAAAGATATTCAGTGTTATGGTTTGATGTTGATTCCCTTTCATTTACCAGGTTTGGGATGCTACTGCATCAGATCCGAAGTTGCTTGTATTCTTGAAGGCGTACAGAAACACTGTTCCTGTACCAAGGCATTGGTGTCAGAAACGGAAGTATCTTCAGGTTAGGAAGTAGTTGCTTAATTATGTACGAAAATGCATTGGTGATGGATATGGTGCACCATGAGAGTTTTAAGGGATAGGGTGAGGGGAGATAACAACGATAAGGTTTCTCTTATATGGATATATGTGGTTCTTGCAGGGGAGCGGCAACACTGGTGGATCCTCGACTTGTATGTGTTTGCCAAAGGGTTCCCTATATCAATTATCTTTGAATATTATAGTTTGTTGGTTGGGGATGAAGTATGAATATGGTAATTGCTGGTTGGTTGAAAAGGGGGAAGGGGGGGGGGGGGGGGGGGGGGGGAGGGAATTCCTGTTTTGAAGCAGTAAACTTGTCCTACTGACATGTGAACTGTGCATTTTTCACCATGTCATTGCTAATTTATCTACTTTCAATTTACAGATGCCTCTTCCATTATTAGTGCTGGGGCCCACATTCTTCTGAGTTTTGTTTTATTTTAATTTGTAATCATTTGGTTTTGAACCGAAGTTACTGGATAAGTAACTAAATGATCTAGGGTAATCTGGAAAGTTACTACCTTTCTGGTACCTTATCCGGTTCGAAAATTGTTTTTTGCAGGGTAAGCGTGGTATTGAGAAGCAGCCTTTCCAGCTCCCCGATTTCATTGCCGCAACAGGAATTGAAAAAATTCGTCAGGTAAATTGTGTTCACAACTTTTAAATGTACTTGTCCATTGTTGGTAAGTGTTACCTTTTGGCTGCTTTAACTTTCAGCCACGTGTTTTGATTTTCTTCTGCTATGTTTTATTTTTATGTGGTCAAATGAGGGTGCCTTTATGGGGTCCTAAAATCTTAGTGCCTGCCTGCAACCAAATATGGTTTGTCTTTTCACATAATGTAAGATGATTTTGGATTTCTATGGCTTTACGATGTTGGCTGAATTTATTGTTGTGGAATCTCTCCTTGATGTCTGTTTTTTAGTCATGATTCATTCTTTCTTGATCGTTCCTACCACCCATTACTCTTTAGAATGGGAAAGAGTGTGGGACTCGCGATATGTTCTTTCATGTACTGTGTCATAGGAATGGTTTCTAATGTATGAACGTGGATTTTGGTCATTCTGTATTAACTTTGGACAAAATCATTACCGCTTTCTTCACTTTGCAGGCATATATTGAGAAAGAGGATGGTAAGAAGTTGAAGCAGAAGCAACGAGAGCGAATGCAGCCTAAGATGGGGAAGATGGATATTGATTATCAGGTTTCTTAATCTGGCACTGCTACGTTGTTTTTGTTATGGTGTCATCTTTGCTTTGTACTTATTGCTCCTCTGTGCCAATGATTTATTTTGCAGGTTCTCCATGATGCCTTTTTCAAGTTCCAAACGAAACCAAAATTAACAAGTCATGGCGACTTGTACCACGAAGGGAAGGAGTTTGAGGTACAAATTCCATATTTCTTAAGTTTTCATGCTGATTACTACTTCTTCCTCAGTTCGTATTTGTGTTCTTTATTTCTCCAAAATTTTCATCCCAAACTTGAGTTTTAGTTCTACTGGTACTGTCTGCTTGTATAGGTGAAACTTAGAGAGATGAAGCCAGGCTCTCTTTCGCAAGAACTAAAAGAAGCTCTTGGTATGCCTGAAGGTGCCCCTCCACCATGGCTTATTAATATGCAGGTAAATTCTTCTGCTGGATATTTATAGTTCAAATGTTATCTTGCCTCATCCTTTTTCTTACTTTCTATGTGATTACTGATCTTCTTTCTGCAGAGATATGGCCCTCCACCATCATACCCTCATTTGAAGATCCCTGGACTGAATGCACCAATTCCTCCAGGAGCTAGCTTTGGTTATCATCCCGGTGGCTGGGGCAAGCCTCCAGTTGACGAAGTGAGTTAATATATCCTACCTGCTGCGTTAGACTAGTTCTGTATACGAAGTTACTTGTGTTCTCATTTCCCTACTTGTAACTGATTTACTTGGTATGGTTCTTTACAGTATGGGCGGCCTTTGTATGGAGATGTTTTTGGGGTTCAGCAACAAGAACAACCTAACTATGAGGTAACCTTCTTAATCTGGTTATGCTACTCTTGGTCGGCTAAGTAGTCGAGGGAATGGTGTTTCCTTTCAATGAAGTTTTCATTGTCTTGCTACTAATTGTCCAATAATTTTTAGGAGGAGCCGGTCGATAAGAGTAAGCATTGGGGTGATTTGGAGGAAGAGGAAGAGGAGGAAGAGGAAGAGGAGGAGGAAGAAGAAGAGATGGAAGAAGAGGAACTTGAGGATGGCATTGAATCTGTTGACAGCCTTTCAAGGTATCAAGTTACAATTTGTTTTTCACTTTTTTTTTTCCAGCTGGGCCCTTTATTTGGTCTTCTTAAGTTTGGTTGTTGGGGTTTGTATATTAATCCTTTATTTTCTTTCATACAGTACACCAACTGGTGTTGAGACGCCTGATGTTATTGACCTTCGTAAACAGCAGAGAAAGGAACCTGATAGGCCGCTCTACCAAGTGAGTATAGTTTTACGTGATTACTTGAAATTAATGTTATGGTGTTGCTTGTTTCAACCGGTTGGAGGTCTAGGACTGAAGTGGCCAACAGTGGCAAATTATGCTAGTAGAAGTGTGAAACATTATTGGAATAAGTGAGTGATGTGAACTGATTATGTATTCTTGTAAGGTTGTTGACTCTTCTAGGGTAGATAGTAGAAGAGATTAGTTAAATACTTGAAATGGCGGAAATGATCTTACAAACTTCTGCTAATTTATAGAACAGAAAAGGATAAGGATGAAATTTAGTAATGTTAAAGGTAAAGTGGCACCTCAATTTAAAATCTGATTGGAAGGTGTGTGCTGAAAAATCAAAAGCTCGAGTTGGTTATTAGATTAATCTGAAGGCATCAATGGGAGGGTTCAACCGAGTCTATAGTTGATGGAGCTTTTATGCTACATATGAGTTATGATTCTAACATGGCTGTTTCGTATGCTCCTTTCTCGACAGGTTCTTGAACAAAAGGAAGAGAGTATTGCTGCTGGAACTTTACTTGGAACAACTCATACGTATGCTTCCTTTCCTTTTGCTTTCTGGAACCCTTATTCGAAAACTGTGTAGTCCTTTGCGATTTCTGATTCTCGTATATTTGGATATGGCTGCAGGTATGCAATTCCCAGCGGTACTGCCCAAGATAAGAATGCTGCTAAAAAGGTGAGAATTTTATCACTTTATGGATGTGCCCGAAATCCACGAGTCGATGGATGGTTTTAAATCCATAATGTGGCTCACTAAAAAATGATGACACTATTTTGATGGATTTGGAAATCCATCTGTCCATTTTACCATGTTATCCTCAAACATCAAAAGAGAAGTTTTCCAAATAATGGCACCCAAATACTGTCCCCATTTAATTATGGGGGCAACATAAAATACTCATACTACAATTCATCAGAAAATTCTGTCGAGCAAGCAATGGATTTCAGGGTCTGTTATTTTCAAATCCACTTATAAAGATCTATCAAAACCAATCAACTTGCCGTCTCTTAAGATTATCGGTAGTAGGCCACTAAGTGTTGACGGAACTTCTTATTTTTATTACAGGTGGATCTGCTTAGGGGCCACAAAGCTGATATGGTGCAAGTCAGTTTGCAACCTGAAGAGCTGGAAGTCATGGATAATGTTCTATCTGCCAAGTAAGATTTCGTTTTTGTGCTTTGATCGTTTGGTCTGATCCTCGTTTCTGGGCCTTTAGCATCTCTTAACACGGGTTGGTTAATTGAATTTTCAGGTACGAGGAAGCAAGGGAAGAGGAGAAATTGCGAAGCCAAAAAGAGGATTTCAGTGACATGGTTGCAGAGGTTTGTTTCCATGTTATTAATCACTTATTATCCGAGTGAAACACAAACTGTTTAAAACTCGATAGGCCGATAGTAGACAAACAATAATGAATTCGTTTATTGGTGCAGAATGAGAAGAAAAGGAAGCGCAAGATGCAGGACAAGGAAGGAAAATCGAAGAAGAAAGACTTCAAGTTCTGAGGAGGTGGACAACCGAATCGAACTCACAGTTGAATGTATTATCTATATATCTACCGCGGGCTGAATATCAGATTCCAAAGCGTTTGGTGGGAAAAGGGGCTATTCGAGTTTTGCACCGTGTACTGTTTTGTCGACGAAGAAGACTGTTCTTGTGTTCTTGCTTATTAGGGCGCGGGGCAGCCCGCTGAAAGAGCTTATGCTTAATGGCAATGTCTTGAGATGAAAATTTTAAAGTGATTGCTCTTGGTGTAACGAGAGCGTTGATTCCTGGAGCTAGATAAAGATCTTCAGTAATGGCAGTCGTGGTCAAGTCTATATTAATGGCGTTGGCGCTTTGTTGTAGGGAAAAGGAGAGTGCTCTGAGAATTCTTTACTATAAATCGAATTTTTTTGTTGTCTTCCCCTCCGTATCCCCATTATTTCTGTCTGTCTTCGTTGCAATCTCTTCGAATTTGGCCGTCGGAAGTACTAGAGTTGTTAAATGGTGCGGTATAGTTTAGATTGAATCGTATATATGGTATGCAGTTCAGACCAGACTAAAGACAAGGTTAGATATTATACGGTCTGAATTATATCAGGTCTGTGGTCTGATCCGGTACCAATTTGATCTACGATTTTTCAAATGGTCTAGTCTATCCTTATTTGGAAGCTCTGTTCGTCCTATGTGAGTTTTTAGGTAATCTCCTTTCTTTTGTGGTGAATGGCAATCTCAAAATCTCGGGGAGACAAGAATCAGTGAGTTGGTGAGTTATTATTTGTTCACGTTGATACTAGTTTTATTGGTTGATGTTGATATTGGTTGATTTTTATTTTTTTGGTATGGATACTGGTCGATATTAGTATTTGGTTGGTATGGGTATTGGTTGGTATTGCTACCGATATTGATTGGTATTGATACTGGTTGATATTAGCACTGATTATGGAAGCAAAGTGTCAGAAAATTAATTTTAACTCTTGCTTCTGCCTTCCATTTGTCGATCATGAGAATGAATTATCTTCATTAGTCATTACTTCTCGTTATGTTTGAAATGCTATGAATAATGTAGTTTGACCAATAAACAAGGTTGTCAACCTGGTTTTGCTCGTTGGCCTGACCAAGAAAAATGAGTTGAGGGTTAATAGGTCATATAACATATGAGTAATAATATATAACATTACATCAAAATAACAGATCGTACTTGGATTCAACATATTGTGAAAATTCTCATACACTTATATAACATTAATATTCAAATGTTCAACTTAGAGTTCAAAAATAGGGTTACGAGAAGAGGAAAATCAGAAAAGAGACGCATTTCGCAAAGCAAATTGAAAAATGATGTCGTGTGATTTCCAACCTGATAACCTTGCAACGGGTCGAACCGGCTGGTGTGTGACCCGATTTTACCACCCGGTCAGGGTCAGAATAGGTCAAACGGAGAATCGACTCGCGGGTTGACAACTTTGCCAGTAAATAAAGCACATTATTTCTAATTGGTATATGGAAAATGAAGAAATATTTTATCCATTTCTTTCTACGTTTACCCTTGTATTAGTTGGTTATCGGTTATCACTGTCATGTTCATGACATTTATCTATTTGTTAACTAATTCTACTTCGCAAATTGCAACAGAATAGCTTGACTATGTTGATAGTGATAAAGCCATAGCGATGAGAGCTAAAATCAAGCAAGAAGAAATGTAAAGAACAATTCCATTTCCAAATATAGCACGTTTTTGAGAACCCTACAAAGTCAATTTATCCTCCAAAATTCTTTGCGAACATCACTCATCAGTAAAAAAATTCAATCGACAAAGATTGATATTATTCCAAAGTCTACCTCAACATATAAATAAAGCAATCCAGAACCCGACACGCCTCATCCAGTACGAGAAGATTTTTAGCACATATCTCAAACACAACTGAATACAGGAACAAGAACGCGCGATGATCAGGCAACGCCACGCCGTTTTAGTCCCGCTCCTCCTCTTGTCGACGCTACTACTAGCCGCGTCCATGGAGGCGAAAAAGGTGCTGGTGTTGGAGAACGACGTCGAGGGAGCACGAAACATAACGATTCATTGCCGGTCAAAGGAGGACGATCTTGGTGTGCATGTGCTGGAGCCGCACCAAAGTTTCCATAGGGAGTTACCAAATTCGTTGTTGTTCATACCCAATTTGTACTACTGTCGTTTGGATTGGGGAGGAGATGCTCATTGGCTTGATGTCAATGACTACAGATCCGAATGCCCAATCTGTACTAATCATGTCGTATTCGGAGGGTGCGTGATATGCCGATGGAGCATCAAGAGAAATGGGCCGTGTTTGGCGACTGATAATAAGGGTTCTCAAAGATGTTACAGTTGGCATAAATAAGAGCTCAGAGAGCTGGGTTTTTTGGGGGTGTTAATGTTATGAATGAAATAAATTTTTAGATAGGTATTAGGAATGAGCTAGAAATATTATGGCATGTTGTGTGCACCTCATTGCAACATAGAGCTTTTGTGAGAATAATATGGCACAAGTCTGGAAATATAACCTAGCGTTTGAGTTTTGATGTTTACCACACTTCCAGCAAGCAACATCAATGAACTGGGGGAGAAGAAAAAGATCGTCTCTTGTATTGTCAAGAAATATACTTCTCCTGCTGTTCTTGAAGTAGCTTTGCTGAGGACTTGGCGTCCAGATATAAGCTGCATACTTCATCGAGATCGGCCTAAAATACATAACCAGCGAGTAAGTAGGCAACAGTGAACTCGGGAAGTAAATAACGATTCAGTGAAATGATGAATTTGCACTGGTTCATAACTGGGATGCAAGGCATCTACCTTGCAAATGTTATCTCTACCATTCATCTTTGCTACAATACTGGCGGGAGATAAGAGCTGAACAGAATGCCTGATGAGGAAGCGTGGTTCACAAGTTAATTATACACGAAGACGGAAGTTTTGAACTTGCTATCTCATAGCCAGTACCAACTAGAACTGATATGACCAGAATCTAATTCAAGGAAAGAACTTATTAGTACCAACCTTAAGGATGTCTGCTGACCAATCTCTCCAAGGAATGCTAGACTTTCTTCGTCAACTACCAATTCCTCGACCTGTGCACGAATTGCCAATATCTAGCCAGACAACAAGATCATGTCGATTGTTAGACTGGTAAACTTCTAGGGAAGGTTTCAAAATTAAACAAAAGAGGGGTATTTCAGGAGAACCTGAATCATTTCTGCAGGGCCATAAATTTGTGTCCGTATAATCACCAAGCGGTCCAGCAAGTCAACAGGTATCCCATGCAGGCTATTCATATCGGTCCCTCTGGAGAATAACATACAACAATTCCAGTTTAAGGAACGGGGTGTGCAGTTAGACTTTCATGTACAATGAAGCCCCTAGAAAAACAGGAAGGCCAGAGCAAATTGATCACCATGCTTACTAGCTTATACTACTTTTACAAACCTTTTACCTACTTTGAATTCTGACAGTAAATTTAAGTGAATGAGAACTGAAAAGTGATTGTGTATCTAAGTTACACATCTCACCCTGCTGTGGTAGGATAAAATTATTAGACATCTGTGATGATTATTTTTTTTATAATTAGAAGCCTGGAGATTACTGAAAACACACCTTACATTACATATTCCTCTATTAGTTGCAAAGATTACTATAGGAGACAATGAGCTCTCTAAAGCCCGATTCAGGTACGAGAAGCACTCCATATCCAGCATGTGCACCTGATAAATGAAACTTTCAGAAACGAGGAGAAATGACATACAGTTACAAATTAGATTGCAGAAGTGGTGAGAAAAGGACCTCATCAATGAACAGAACTCCAGGAACAAGTTCTGCCACACCTTCATCAATGTACCGATTAACAACCTGCCATAAAAAAATTCTCTCTCTTGTGATAGTCCATTAATTATGTATAGTTGAAATCAGCCTAGGAGATAGGAACCTTTTGATTGCAGGAAAGAAACATACGTAAGAACTAATGACAAAGATGAAAACAGTAGCCAAGAAATGCAATTACACGATATCAGGGAGCAGGTCAACTATAAACTGATGTAATACACCTTTAATGATTTTATGATCCCCGAAACATTGTAGTTAGCTACTACAAAATACCTTATTTATTTCCTGGCGTAGCTTGTCTGTTATTTCGGTCTTTCTTGGTTTCATCATTTGCCCCATTAAAGACAATATGTCTTGCCCACCTTGAGGCCTTGCATTAGCAGCATCTAGATCATGCAGTGTAACATCCTGATGACAACAAAATTTTATCCAGATAACAGTATCAAACCCTGGAAACTTGTCATGAAATAAAGTAAAGATGAAAATAAAGGTATGATACCACAAGGTGTGCAAGCTATAAGAAGAATGCATTGCCATTTGAATAGGCTAGATTGGAGCCATCACGGTTCTGCAGAAACCTTGCTACCAACCGTAGTATGCTCAGGGTTGAAAGAATCTTATCAATAGGTTAAAGATATTTTTAACTAGAAGCAAACAATCAGAGCGCGATACTTCCAAGAAAGCCAATTATATATCAATATGAAGGGGACACCACTGAAGTTACTAATAATGGGAACACTTGGCGGCCATAAGGTATCATTGGGACGACCAAGAGCTATCGTCATAAGGTACTAAGTCATGTACCTGAACTATCTCCTTCTTTTTGTGCACTTCACCTTTGGGAAGTGGGACATACTCTTCCGCTTCAAGATCAAACTCTGTAGCAAAAGCATCACTTCTCCCCACTCTTTTAACTGCTCCGCTATTTGCTTCAATGTATATAACATCCCCCACAGCCACCTGTTAACAAATGTAAATTGGCCACATCAAAGATAAAGCACGTGACATACAGACAGCATAAGAACTAAGGCTATCACCTATCACCTAACTAAGGCTATCCCCTGTGACATACAGACAGCATAAGAACTAAGGCTATCTACCTTTTCCTTTATCAAGGCATCATAGATGGTGGGATCCAACTTCAGTTGCTTAGTCCCTTTAACAGTCTTTAGACCAATTATGACATGGCTAATACTTTTACCATATCCACCAGTCACACTTTCAGTTTCTTCCGGGGATAGTTCAGTGACCTGAAAGTATCACAGTAAACATTGTGAATAAAGCATGAAAGAATGACATATGATTAATGGGAAAGATATGATGGTGACTCAAACTTGCCTCTCCTTCATAAACCTCTTTATTTTCCTTGATACGCAAGCCAATTGCCCTACGGAAATTTTCCATCAGAACTTCCGTTTTCTTCACTTCTGATGAATAAACTTCTGATCCAACCATTGGACAGAATGGAACCTGGCCATAACATTATAAACCCATCAGATGTTGCATAATGTGCCCTGAACTTGAACCAAGAGATATATACAGAGAGCAACCAGATAATACTTCACTACTTAAGGTACTGCATAAGCAATGGAAAACTGGAAATCATGCAATGGAGTCTTTAGTAAAGGTCTTCAAGCATAAGTGGTAGATGAAATGGAAGCAAGAAGAAACCCTAACCTTGCTGCCAAGTTCCTGAGAAATGCCAAGGGCCAAAGCTGTCTTCCCGGTACCAGGAGGCCCGGCCATTAGAAGAGCCTTTCCGGCCATCTTCTTCTGTCTAATCATATCAACAACAAGACCAGATGCTTCTCTGGCGTCTGTCTGACCCACAAAGCCAGACGCCAAAGGGATTGCCTTTCCACTTGGCTGGAAGGAAAAAAGGAACCATCTTTGAGGCAAAATAATCAACATGAAGAAACCCTTTCCATTAAAACCCTAGAGAATGTAAGAATAGAGAGGGGGAGGGAAGAGCAGGGGAAAAACCTCAAGGCCGAGGCCTTTTATATGAGTGTGGGTGGCGATTCTCTGCTTCTTCGCGGTGCTCTGTACCTCTTCTATCTTCATTCTGTCCGTAGCTTCTTCTCTAACTCTTTCTATGTGCGCCGGCCGCCGGCTGATGAGCTTTCACCGTTGCAGAGATGGCGCGCGCGGCGGTTTTAAGCTCTGTTCTGTTCTGTTCTGTTCTGTTCTGCCGTCAAGTCTTCCTTTCCTTTCTCCTGCGGCCGGAAAGGAAACAAGTAACAACCAGTTCTCCCGCTCCAATGCATCGGGCTACTGGCCCGGCCCAAATCCCCACAAACCGGTGTTAACATCGACAAATTGGGCTCTGTTCAGCCTAGGCCCATATAGTCGAACGCAATAGAATTGGCCCACCTTTAAACTGGATAGTCAGCGGGATCCGGGTCCCGATATTTGGGCTGCCCCGAGCCTGTCTTTAGATCCGAGTCAAAAACTCTTTAGCCGGGAACCTCGAATTCCTCCGGGAATCTGACGTCTAGTTCCCCGCTACTCGCCGCCTGCCACCAATTGCTTTTCCGATTCCGATAGGGAGAAGTGAGATTCCATCTCTTCTTGTGGATTTCAATCGGAAACATCGCATCGCGTCTTTCCGTTCCGGCGAAAGCAAGCTCAAGTGGAGAATTACTTTGGTATTTCAACCAATTTATTATTACTTCATCGGAAGATTTTCGATCCAGATTGAAGAGAAACCCTAAACCTAGAGAGCTTCCGTCCATCCATCCATGGCGTCGCGGAAGAAAGAGGCCGAGGGGATTGCCTTGCTGTCTGTGTACAGCGATGAAGACGACGAGGAAATGGAAGAACCTGGCGAACAGGGAGGTGGAGAAGAAGCGGAGATGCTGCGGCAGCAACAACAAGAACAGCAACTAGGAGGGAGCGACTATAGGGAATCGAATTATATGGAAGAAGATTCTGCCCAAGACGGGATGGTTACTGGCGATTACGAAAATGGAGCTATCCCGCCGGCGGGTGAACAGAATGCATATTCGAAGGAGGTGGTGCAGCAGCTGCAGCAGGTTCAGGTTTCGTTCTCTTCGTCTACCCGGCAAGTGCAGGACGGTCGAGCGGTTAGTTCGAAGAGAAGTGGGAGAGGGAGCCTTACGATTGTAGATTATGGGCATGATGAAATAGCAATGTCTCCTGAACCCGAAGAAGGTGAAATGGGTAAGCTCTTTTATCTTCTGTTACTTTCAGCTGCCTATGTTTTTGCTTCAATTTCTTTTGGTGCCGGGTGGGATTGGTAGCTCGTTGGTTTTCGGTGGTAATTTTGAAATTCGGAACTGTGAAATGTGGATTATCTTTGCAAGAATAAATCTCTAGCTGCCTTACTGTAACATAAGTCAATTTCCGGAATGATAATGGTCTAGAAATTTGCAGAGTTGAAATTTGCACGGGCGTTAATCAGGGGTAACCTGACACTAGGGTTTGGGAGCAAGATTAAGATTTAAGGTCTATCTTCTTAGTGCTTTCTTTTCATGTGCTGTTCCTGAGGCCAATGTTTGTCACTAATAATTAGTATTGCTGCAAGACGAGTGTTATTCTATGGCAGTAATGTGGTACCATTAAGTAATTTTTATTTTGTGCATAGCAGATGCAGGCCAAGAAGAGATGGTTCTAGGAACTAGTCAGCCATTTGGCTCTGAGACTTCACTGCCAGCTGATCACTCGGAAACACCCCAGTCAGATGATATGAACAATGGCTCTGCTGAACTGGAAGCTGGTAAGGTGGAGGACTCTAGTGAACTTCCTGAGGGGAAGGCGGATCCATTGGATAAATTTCTACCTCCGCCACCTAAAGAGAAGTGTCCACCAGAGTTGCAAGTAAGTTCATTCATTGCTGCTCATTTTGAATCCCTTTCATGTTGCTACCTACTGTAATTATCCGAACTTAGTTTGGTCCGTGTTTTTTCTGTTGCTCAAACAACAATAGGCATACTCTGATTTCGTCTGATCTTTTTGATGCCTAGATATGATCTTTTGTGGGCAATCTGACTTCGATATATAATATTCAGCTAGATATTTTTTCTACTGATTTCTTCTTTCTCTGTGGTCCTTCCGTGTTGCTATCCCACTTGCAGAATCGAATAACAAAGTTCATCGCTTTGAAGAAAATTGGTAGAAGTTTCAATGCAGAGGTTCGTAATAGAAAGGATTATAGGAACCCTGACTTCTTGCTGGACGCTGTTAGATATCAGGATATTGACCAGATAGGAACTTGCTTCAGTAAAGATGTATTTGACCCTCATGGATATGACAAAAGCGACTTCTATGATGAAATAGGTAATCAGTTGTTCCTTACTCTGTATTCCAGAGATGCACATTTGCATTGGGTCATTCTGTTGCTTGTGATATCGCTTGATATGAGGTATGCATGGGAGCACGTTGTAAGCTTTGTAGGCTACACTGAGGCCTCAGCCTTTACTTGAATCCTTCACCTGCACCATTTATCAGTTATCTGGTTCTGAGCCTAAGTTTGTTGGTGCTATGCATAACACTGCAGCTTTTTGTGTGTTTGTCAAACAGAGGCCGATTTGAGGCGAGATAAAGAAAGGAGGGAGCAGGAATTGAAGAAGAGCCCAAAGGTTGAATTTGTACCAGGAGGAACTCAACCAGGAATTGTGATGCCTCCTTCAAAATTCAGCATGCCCATTCCAGGTATGATCGCGTCTAAATTACTAAAAGTTTACTATGGTTGATGTATCATTTTGTGATATTTTAGTACTAATTCAACACTTTGGTGGTGGGTATTCAGTTGCTGCCAGTGGATTGCCACCAGCACCAGAACCAGTTTCGAGAGATGGTAGGGCGAACAAGAAGTCCAAATGGGATAAGGTCTCCTTCCTCTCTGCATTTTTGTTTTTGTTTTCTTCCAACCCCGGTACGTGTGTGAGCAGCTATTCTGAACGTGGCTTTTCAGGTTGATGGCGATGGAAGGAATCCTCTCCCAGCTGGCGGGCAAGAGTCTTCAGCCACAGCAGCAGCTGCTGCTCATGCCGCGCTTCTCTCTGCTGCTAATGCTGGTTCTGGATATCCAGCTTTCGCGTAAGTGTTTCGTGAGATGCTGAACTTTTACTCGACCTCTAAATCGTCGCAGTTTTAGTTGCTCGAGTGAAGACGAGTTATGTTGGTTGTTAATGTAAAAGCTGTAGTCCCTCCTCTGATCGAAGTTCTGTTCTCACTTGTATGCAGTCAGCAGAAGCGGCGGGAGGCAGAAGAGAGAAGATCCGGCGAACGGAAAACCGACAGAAGGTCCTGAGTATTTACCAGATTAAACAACCACGGATGAGAGACAGAGGATCTCTCAGATTTTGGAATTAGGTTTGGATGTCATTTCTCTGCCACTCTACCTGCTAAGATTAGAGACGTTGGAGATTCCTACTTTTGCAATGCGTCCGAATTCTGATTATGTTTGTTCCCCACGTTGGGTCTAGTCACCACTCAGCCGGTTAAATTGTTTATATATTTACAGTTGGTTAATTATATGTACTCTTTCTATATATTTATACATTTTAGGTACTCGTCCAATTAACTCACTGAAAGTATCATTCTCTTATTAAGTTGGACATGCAAAGTTCAACTGCAATTGCAACGACTACAAAACAGAGTCACATAGTAGTCCTAATTTCCTTTTGTACATCATATGTGAATTAAGTTAGTCTTTTCGTAGTCCTTTTACCAAAGGCGGGAAGAAAATTACGGCGAAAATAACCTAGGAAAATGGCCAGTTTTCTTCTGCGGCTGCTGCTGTTAGGTGTTCTTGTGATCAACCAAGTATCACAGATCAGTGGACATGACTTCTTAGCAACGTAAAGAAGGAAAACTATTTTCGGTCAAGGGTTTGCTCTTTCCGGGTGGTTGCTTGCAGACTGTGTTTTGTTCTTTGTTGCTGCATTTTGTCCTACACAGCTTTGTTTGTAACCGGATGCCATTGGGCTTCCTCTTATTGGAATCAGATTGTTGGTTCGTTCTCCCTTTTGTAACTGATCAGTTTGAAGTGCAATAAAATCCCTCATTGTCTAAAAAAAAAAAGTAAAGAAGGAAAACTATCACCTATTTGAGATTATATAAAATGGAGAATCGAATTTTTTTTATAGAGAAATTAACAAAGAAATTAATTCGAAAGAAGAAACGGAGACCTTGACGATAAATGCTATCATGAAAAATGGAAATGAGACACCAATTGTCAATTGGGTCCTCATAATATTCACTTTAGTAAGCCCTAGCTACTAGATTTGCATAAAAATGTAGGATCTTCATCTCATAGCCACATGATTCTCAATCAAAACCTACATGCTTTGCATCTTTTTACCAAGAAAAAGTGGAAACCAGAAAAGTTGTGAATGAAACACACAATAAAGTAATCCATGAACTCACGAGTAAGTTTCGTATGCATTGCTAGACTTGCTTTCCTAGTCCACCAAGTCAACAAAGATGAAACACATTGATGAGTAGGAACGTTTTCCATTGCACTAATAAAATGATCATTCATAGCCCCCTCTATCTTCTTTTTGGTCAAAAAGCTTGAATAAAGTGACTGTTAAATCCCCTCACAAAGCTTGTTGATGTTGTTGTAGTAGAGGAGAGGGAACGACTGACTCATCAGTGTCAAAGTGATGTTCATCCCTGATGTAGTTGTTTCGAACATAAGGTCATGATCGGTTTTATTAGGCTGGTTGACTAAAAGTTATAGCAAATTATTTATAAAACAGTTATAATAAATTTAGTGTAAATTAAGTAAATTATAACAATTAAGACACCGATCACTTTGCAATGTGCATAATTCCTTGATGTGGTTGTCACATATCCCTACATACCAAAACTCTTTGTGCATGTGGACTTCACTTACGGAGCTATCAATTGTTGCATTACTCCATCAATCAGTTGTAGTGAAAGTTGACGTTTGTTTTTCACATTGGCACAATCAATTGTTTGCACTTTATGTTCCAATATCTAGTGGGTATTAGACGGCAAAGCAACCAATAATAATAGAAATGTTCTTTGTTTCCTTCTTGTGGAAGTAGAGTGTCGGTGTGGTGTGGTTAGAATATACGATGATTCCTTGGTACTATAAAAAGAAACAACTATTTGTAATACAAAAGTGAGGTGTGAGTCATTGAGATAACACACGATTCACCCGCTTCCAATCCACAATAGTTTGATTAGGAGATAAAGACCTCCCTCGTTTCCAAATCAAGGTCCAACCACCCACTTTTCCAACCCAACTAAATGACATGCTACACTAGGTGAGAACTGTCGAGGTATTCTTCACCTTTAGTAAGACCATACACCGATCTAAGATTGATTTGCATGATTGTCATTGTTATACACTGGATTGCAAGTTCAATATGAGATTGTCATCTGTTGCCCACAAAGTATATCTGACGAAGCTTCATATGAGATTGTCATTGGTTTTAACAAGATCGATCTTCATTCTTCAATATATCATCCATCCTACCCTCCCTATTTTCGCACCCATCGAGTGGACCACCTCCTGCTCAATGAAACACACACATCACTTTTGTTAAGTGTGAAAGGCATACATCACTCATTCTTCTTCCACGTCTACTCTACGTGTACATTATGACAATTGACACATTTTGTATGCATGTCTTCTAGCACCTCTAACGTTTTGTTCATAATCAAACGTTATTTGCTTAAGCACGTCAGTTTTCTTGTCAGCCCTTTTCGAGGAAATGTTATGTAAGTAATTTAGCAGGGAAAGTGAAAAGCCAAAGAGAGATGCATTGAAGTAAAGTGAGTGAGTTTGGCAAGTGGCCAACTCACCAACTCACCAACTCGGGCAAAAGGCAACGGTAACATTTCAGAAAAGCCTTTGGAAGAGGAACAGAGTTTGCTTGGAGGACATTTTCGGCATTACCAGAAAAGTTAACGGCAACTTCATTTCACACCTCTCTCTCTCTCTCTCTGCAAATCAAAAAGCAAAATCGCTACAGTCATTTCCCCCCGCAAAAATCCAATCCGAAATTAATAAAAACATCCACCAAACAGAATCACTGTCTCTTTCCCCCCTCTCTCTCTCTTCACTCTCCCACTAGAAAGCCACAATCTTTTTAAGTGGGCGGCAAGTGAAGTGGCTATTTCTTAGACCTCTCTCTCTCTTTAGTTCTTCAACTGTCCCTTTCTACCTCTCTACTTTCTCCGCCGAAAACCCCATTTTCCCTACTTCTCCATCTCCATCTCCTCCTCTGGTTTGGGTTTTGCAGAGCAAGGTTTAGTTTTGATCCAGCAGAAAAAATGGCTGCTCCAAAGCCTGAAGAGATAAGTCACCCGGCAATGGACCAGCTTCAGGGTTTGGAGTACTGTATTGACTCCAATCCTTCTTGGGGTAAGAATAAGTCTATTGACTTGCTCTTCTTCTTCTTCTTGAAATCATGGCCCTGCTGTTTCTTTTGTGATTTGTGGTGAACTCCTTTTCCCCTCTTGTTTATGTGAAAGCAGGGGAGTCAATTGCTTTGGGTTTCCAGCATTACATTTTGGCTTTAGGGACCGCCGTTATGATTCCTTCCTTCCTTGTCCCTTTGATGGGCGGTGACCATGTAAGTAGCTCATTTGACAAGTTTGTATCCATCTTGGAGCAAAGGAAAAGAACAAAAGTTTCCCTTTTTTTTGTTTTGTTTTGTTTTTTTGCTATGGTGTTGATTCATAATTTGGGATGATGGTGACAGGGGGATAAAGTCAGAGTGGTACAGACTCTACTGTTTGTTGAAGGGATCAATACCCTTATTCAGACTCTGTTTGGGACGCGTCTTCCCACCGTGATTGGGGGATCCTACGCCTTTATGGTCCCAATCATGTCGATAATTCACGACCCTGCTTTGACCAGAATAGAGGATGATCATTTGGTTAGTAAAGTCTTGGTCTTTTTCACAGTTCTCTCAGAATTCTGCATCGCATTGCCTGTTTGTTCTGTGATATAAGTTGGATAAATTAAAGACAATTAACTGAGAAATTATGTTGGCTTCTGAGTAGTGCCTTTTTTGTTACTGTATTCAGAGGTTTTTGAGCACCATGAGAGCTGTACAAGGTGCTTTAATAGTTTCATCTAGCATTCAGATAATTCTGGGATACAGTCAATTGTGGGCCATTTGTTCCAGGTAAAAACATTGATTAACTCGCTCAGCTTTCAATCGCAAATGAACTGCAGCTGATGAAGCTGTGTGTTTTTACAAAATTTGATGATGAAGTTTTGAAATTGCAGGTTCTTCAGCCCACTTGGGATGGTTCCAGTCATTTCTTTGGTGGGTTTTGGACTATTCGACAGAGGCTTCCCTGTGGTATGTAGACATTTGAGACTTGGACTGTTGATGCTAATCACCTTTTCATTGAAAAAGGTCATCTTAATGTTCTTGTTCATTTTGTCTCGATCCATTTCGCAGGTTGGTCGTTGTGTGGAAATTGGCGTTCCCATGCTCATCCTATTCGTAACATTCTCTCAGGTGCTTCATCTAACCAAATGTCACAGTGCCTTCTAGTTCAGTTCCAACTAAATGCTGTGCCTTTCTATCTGTGATCATAACGGATTGGTATCTTTGTGTGTTTACAGTACTTGAAGAACTTTCACTTCAGGCAATTGCCAGTACTAGAGCGGTTCGCGTTGCTAATATCGGTGACTGTAATATGGGCATATGCACATCTCTTGACAGCAAGTGGTGCATACAAGCATCGTCCAGACCTTACTCAGGTCAACTGCAGAACTGACAGGGCCTACCTCATTTCTGCTGCTCCATGGTGCGTTTAACAATTCCCCACCCTCTATGATTTGGTGTCTCCCTTTCCTTATATGCTGATTTGCTGATAGTTTCCTACTGATGTGTTGCAGGATAAAGATTCCATATCCATTGCAATGGGGAGCCCCAACTTTTGATGCTGGCCATTGCTTTGGGATGATGGCTGCTGTTATAGTCTCACTCATTGAGGTAAAAGGTTAATAATAACTAGTAGAAAGAAAATTCAGCCTGAATGCTTGCTTCTCGTGAGTTATGTACTTGGAAAAAAAGCTGAAGGGGACTTTTTTCTTCTATTGACACAGTCCACTGGGGGATACAAAGCTGCCTCGAGGCTAGCTAGTGCCACGCCACCACCAGCTCATGTGCTAAGCCGGGGAATTGGGTGGCAAGGAATTGGCATACTACTTAGTGGCATGTTCGGAACGATGAGTGGCTGCACAGTATCCGCGTAAGTATCTCCCAAATTCGGTTGTAAGCAATCTCTAAGAGACAAAATTGGCATTGGACTAACTCTTTCTTGTGGTGAAATATTCAACAGAGAAAATGTGGGGTTGCTTGGCAGCACTCGTGTTGGCAGTCGAAGAGTTATTCAAATCGCAGCTGGTTTCATGATCTTCTTTTCAATTTTGGGTGAGAGACTATCATTGAATTTGACTGATCTGCTGTTCTTGTGTTAATTCCTCCATTATCAATCAAGCTCATTTGGTTGAGATTCTTCTGACAGGGAAATTCGGAGCACTATTTGCATCAATACCATTCCCAATATTTGCTGCTTTGTACTGTGTCCTGTTTGGTCTTGTTGGTGAGTGTCAATGCTTCTTCCTTCTCATCCATTTCCTTTAACATCTGAACTCTAGTGCTGACATCAAATTATTTCCTGGTTCTTCCTCTATCAGCATCTGTTGGTTTGTCGTTCTTGCAATTCACAAACATGAACTCAATGAGGAACCTGTTCATCGTCGGAGTTGCCTTGTTTCTTGGCCTGTCCATTCCTGAGTACTTCAGGGAATACACTTCCAAGGCCTTCCATGGACCATCTCACACGAAAGCCGGCTGGGTAAGGATGTCTTTTTGACTTTTTGGTGATAATTCTTGATTCCCTCTCAAGTTCAATTCACTAACAATACTTCTTCCCCGTTGCTGTTTGTGATCTTCGGCTCCTTGAGTGCAGTTCAATGATTTCTTGAACACAATCTTCTTCTCATCCCCAACCGTGGCGTTGATAGTAGGAGTGTTCCTCGACAACACACTTGACTACAAGGACAGTGCCAGAGATAGAGGAATGCCATGGTGGGCTAAATTCAGATCATTCCAAGGAGACAGCAGGAATGAAGAATTCTACACTCTACCCTTCAACCTCAATCGTTTCTTCCCTCCGTCCTGAAAAGTTTAATCAACAAGAATCAGTTGCAGCGGAGTTTGGCTCAGGGTTCGGTTGCTTGCTTGCTTGCTGGTTTGTTAGAGGAAAAACATCATTTCCAGTTAAGAATTGATTGCTGATGAGAGAGTATAGCAAGAGTAGTAGTTAGAACTCTTAACACCCCATCTAGGATTTTGCTTTCCAGGAGACAAGAATAAGCTATTCTGCTTTTTCTTGTCCTTCTTTTTCCCTATTTAATTCATTTTGATTTGTATATCACTTGGGATAACCAAACACCAAGATTATCTATAATGATATGTCTTTCAGCTTCCAAACCAACCCTTTTGGAGAAAATATCAGTTATTTAACCTGAAGTTTGATTAAAGAATTGAAGAAAGATACAGCAACATTCTTCAGTTACTACTACTACTGCTACTACACATGCACTCTGGAGATCTAGGCTGTCGATACACACTTCTCCCGAAACGCCTGGGCCTCACCCTTTGACCTTCGTCGATCATTCGCCTCACTCTCTCTTCAAAGCCATTCCATTCTACCGTGCTATTCTCGTGCAAAATCGCAGCAAGCCTCTTCTTGTTCGGCCTCAACGTTGGAGCATTCCCTCCTCCATAGTAAGTCCTGAACCCTGAAACCAATGATGCCAACTGGCTCCCTGAATCAGTCATCGCAAACACATCTGCAGTGGCACATGCGATCAAGTCCAGTGCAGCCATCTGTGAAGAGAAATTCCTGAAGGGAGCAAGTTCAGCCTGTGAGAGGAGAGTTTCCTTGGTGATCAAGGTAGGGTAAAGGCTGACGAATGAATGCATTCTTGATTTGCCTCCATAAATTTGAGACCCCGCGAGGTAGATACTAGTTCCGGTCTTGAATCCTAGTCCAGCAAGGACTAGTGCTGCTTCCTCTGGTGTCAATGGACATTTTCCTGTCTTTCTTAGTTCATCTGTGTATACGGTCCTGTTGGGATGGGAAGAAGGGTATTTCAATCATTGAGTGTGAGAGTTAGGAAAGCTGAGTTAGATACTTACTTGGATTTTCTTAAACGTTCAATGAGAAGAGGGAAGTGGCTTTCTCTATAAGCCTGAAGCTCCTGCTTTTCATTTGCTCCACCTCCGAAGTCACACAAGGAGTAGGCGACCATATCGATCTCGAATCTCAAGTGCAAAGCAAGATACTTCTGTGGCGGTTTTGTTGCATTATATGGCCTGTTGGAGGGAATACTGCTAGAGATGTAGTCACCAAGGAGTTGTTTATCCAACGCAGTCGGTTCAGTTTCGTACTTCCTTATCCTTTGTCTCAACAATGCGCCAACTTTTTGGATCTTTGGAACAAACTTCAAAGCGTGGAAATTGCATTTGCACCTCAGTTTCTGCAGAAAGTAAAACCTTGTTCTCTCAGATCAAAGGAGGTTGTAGGTAACCTGAGAGACCCGAGGAAATTTCCCTTTACCTGAAGTTGAGATGGCATTGGATCAAATCCGAGTCGATTCCCAAACCCAAGCAAGTGAACCAATCCATTTCGTATCAGGATTGGAAGCACCTTCTCCATATAATCATTTGGCGTCGCCTCCTTTGGCAAATCAGAATCAGTAATCTGAATTTGGAAATTGATAAAGGTCAGGATTGTTCTGATATTCTTGGTCATTCATAAGAAACAAAAAGGACAGACCTTGGAGTAATGTACTATATCTATACCAGGCTGCCAGTTGCTTCAATGGCTAGAGATTTGAAACGAGATGGGAGTTCTTTCACAATATCTACTTCCTCCTTCATCATATCCAAGAAATGTTTCTCCTGGTAGATATCACCAAACTGACTTGGGTCCTTCCAAACATTGCTGTAAAGGAACGTGGGAAGAACTAGAGTCGCGTTGAGTAAAGCTGCCACAGCAACAGCATTGCAAATCTGCAGCAGCCATGACATAGTGGAAATTGAAACTAAGGTAGAACAATTTGGACTATACACACAAAAGATATTATTCAGAACATTAGATGATTACTTACAGCAACTCTTTGTTGATTGAGACCACCATTTGCACTCACCATTATGTAGCCATTACTTTTCCCTAACCTTCCTGTGTCGATTAAACGATTTTGAAAGTTCAGCTTTTAGCTTGGGAGTAATGAACCAAACTAGTCGAAATAAGATAAGGCAAAGAATATTCAGTTTACCTGGGTATTCAGGAACTTTTCTATCTGCACAAGGTTTCCATACACTTGCCTTAGCAGCATAAGGTTGCTTCCAAAACCTTGTCTCTTGTTGCTCCAACTCTTTCTAAAGCAGAGCAGAATGTGTTAAACATATGTAAATGTGCATTATACAAGACCTTATGTATATCAACTGAATACTTAATTGCATTGTACCTCTGCAAGTGCACCAGAAGCTATGCTTAAGAGGTGACCATACATCTGCACCGGTGACTTTCCCTCCTCGGAGTAAGCTGTACGATCCTCCTACGATTCATGCGAAAACAACAAAAGATCATGACAATAAAAAGTAGGAAAACAGCAAATTAAAGTGGATTAAGAGCCAAGAAAACACTTCATTACATACATCATCTGCTTTGGTCAATGTTGAGATGTTTCTTCCAAGCCACATGGGATCAAAAACAGAAACCATCAAGGAATCCAGCATGATAAGAAACCCCACGAAGGCCAACATCGTGGCGACTGATCTCACATACTTGCTGCTAAACCAGGCGTGCCTTTTCCCAACACAAGCTCCCCTACAAGAACCAACCTTGCTGTTGCCATGATTATCATTTTGGCTCAAACCGTGGAGTGACATGGCTTTGGCATTCCAGGCACTTTCACCACCTGACAGCCTCCTACCCAAGGAAGGACCATTTCCTGCAAAACCACCACTTTCAGAACTTCTTGTCTGGTAATCCTTCATCGATGTATCAGGACGTGGACTCTTAGGAGAGCTTTGCTTCCCCATTATACAGATTTGGGAAAACTATCCATCACAAAAGGAAGCACCCATTCAATCAAATGTGCAACCAAATCTCAGACTCCGTAGATTGAAACTGATTTAAGTTATGCCAAACTGACAACAAAGAAGGAAAGCTGAGGGAGTAGGTGCTGTGTTTACATAGGGCAGAAAGAGTGAAACGCAAGGCACCTAGTTTTTTCCCTTTGAAAACTCAGCTGCAACTCATTTCTCAAACCAACCTTGGCAACCAAGACTCTTCCAACTACCGCAAAAATAGCAACTTGCCACCAAACCCACAACTACAGGGAAAATTAAAAAAAAACATATGTTCCCAAAATCCCCAGCTCTTTCTTCCTTGACTTTGTGCAGACAACGTCTTACTATTTGCCGCCACGAGAAGCTTGGTTCTGTGGGGTTCGGTAAATTTGGCGGGTGGGGGCGACGGAAGCCTTTCAACCAACTTTTTGTTTGAGTGGGCCTATTGAGAAATAAAGCCTTCTTATTTATGGGCCTTCACCGAGTCCATGGGCCACAGTTTCCGCTCTTCCAGACTAACGGACTCTGGCCTAGGACGACGTGATCCCTCATCTCGTTATATTACCCAACTCAAGAGGGCATATATGGAAACACAGAAGAATAATGCAAAACAGCAAAAGCAAATTGAGCTGAACGGAGAGTAGCAGACCGGGACAGAACCCAAACCAAAACCAACGGCCGAACCAAAAGGAAGAAAGGAATGGGGAAAAACCGGAAAAGGGTACTCTTATCATCATCAATTCATCATCCTCCCTATCTCTCTCCTCTTCTCTTTCTCTCTCATCGGCCGAAGGAGAAAACAAAAACAAAATAAAAAATTAAGAAAGGATGAGGGAAGGGAGGAGGAGAGAGAGAGAGAGGGGAAAGGAAAGAAGGGGAGGTGGTGGTGGTGGGGGAGAGAGCTGGAATCACATGGTCTTGTTCTTCTTCCTTCTTCTTTGTCTTCGTCTCTCTCTCTCTCTCTCTCTCTCTCTCTCTCTTCCATTCCTCCTCGTCGGCTCACCACTACACAAACTCTTTCCCTCCAATGATCTCCCTCTTACTGATATCGACTGATTGACTGCCGACTCCCTTCTCTCTCTCTCCCTCTCTTCATCTCACCAGCCATGGCTGCTCCGGCCGACGATAAGGTATTCCCCTTCTCCCCCTCTCTCTCTCTCGCTCTCCTCTCCTCCTCGTCCGTTCAATTTTTTCATTTCCCCGGGAAACAGCATTTCTCGCACTTCTGTTTCTCAGTGGTCGAATTCCCAGATTCCAGAGGTTGCTTGTGTTTAGCTTTGATGGTTGTTATGACCCATTTTCGTTAGGGTTCCCAAATGGAAAATTTTCCTTCACTCATCTGCATTTCTTCCTGTCTAGGTTCATCTGCTGGGAGCTCTGTCTATCTTTCTTCTTCTTGTTCTCTTATATATATTTTTTTTCTTCTCATGTGCAAGTTTGTTAGATCTCTTTTGGTTTCTCAGCTGTGGGGGTAAAGAAACGAGACTTGAATTTTTTAGATCTCTTTCGTCTCTAGTCGCCGAGCCGGGTGTTTGTTCTGGCGATCTCCGCCTTTTGGCTTCCTGGGTCGAACAAAGCCCTTAACTTTCTGGTGGTTACTGTTTCTGGGGTTAGTGGATCTAGATCTCCTTCGCTTCTGGTAGCTGTTTGGCTTCAAGCAGGCTAATCTCCCCCCGATTCTAGGTTCCTTCAGCTGATGTTGGTCGCCTGAGATCCAATCTTTTAACTTTCCGGTGAACTGAACTTTTCAATTTCTCGGGTTTTGGTCGGTGTCTTTTGTGTTACAGATCGCCGGATGGAATTTGTCTTGCTTGGAACAGATATTCAGCTAGATTCATCTTTAAGCTACCTGTGTTCCGTTTTTCCCATCCCCTTTTTGACGTCTTCCTGCTCGGCTTTCTTTTTGTGGAAGGCTTACTGACCTTCGTATACGAGCTTATTCCTTTGTGCTTTAAAGGAAGCTTCCCCTTACTGATGTATCTTTACTGTTTTGTAGGAGATTTCTGCCCATGGCAATGATCCAGTCACGGGACACATTATTTCCACCACAATTGGGGGTAAAAATGGAGAACCAAAGCAGGTAAAGTATTTGTAATTTTGAGAAGATTTCTGCCGTGGGCTGCTGAATCTGTAGTCCTCAACATTTAGGAACTAACCTAGTTGGGCCATTGTTTGTGTTGTTACAGACCATCAGTTACATGGCAGAGCGCGTTGTGGGGACTGGATCGTTTGGTATTGTTTTCCAGGTATGCTTACATATAGATAAGTGGTAACTGTGGTAGTATAGAGATATCTGCATCGGGTTTACAAGCTGACTGTTGATGATTATTGTTTAGGCTAAATGCTTGGAGACTGGGGAGACCGTGGCAATTAAGAAAGTTCTACAGGACAGAAGATACAAGAACCGCGAATTGCAGCTGATGCGAGTGATGGATCACGTCAATGTGATTTCCCTGAAGCATTGCTTCTTCTCCACAACAAGCAACAATGAGTTGTTCCTCAACTTGGTCATGGAATATGTACCTGAAAGCATGTATAGGGTTCTAAAGCATTACAGCAATGCAAAACAGGCGATGCCACTTATTTATGTCAAACTTTACGCATACCAGGTATGTGTGTACACATCTGTCTAAGGTTGTTTGGTTAAAAAAAATAAACTTGGTCTGATGTTAATCGTGATACATATTCCAGATTTTCAGAGGATTGGCATATATTCACAATGTCAGTGGAGTTTGCCACAGGGATTTGAAGCCTCAAAATGTTCTGGTATGCTGACTGCTTAGGCTATCTTGGTTCTTGTAGCTTATCATGCCCACTAAATCATCGGGTAGAAGTTTCTTACGGGTATAATTGTCTGCCTGCAGGTTGATCCCCTCACTCACCAGGTGAAGCTTTGTGATTTTGGGAGTGCAAAAGTGCTGGTATGTTCCCTTCTTATTTGTACTTCCAATTTTCAGTTATAATTGCAATCCTTAAATGTTGTGAAGTGTTTCTGCGTGAGGTTCTTGGTTTACGTTTTCATTTTGGATTCTGTTTTAATCTGATTTCAGGTCAAAGGTGAAGCAAACATATCCTACATCTGCTCACGATTCTATCGAGCTCCTGAACTTATTTTTGGAGCCACAGAGTATACTACATCAATTGATATTTGGTCAGCTGGCTGTGTTCTTGCTGAGCTTCTTCTTGGCCAGGTAAACCTTGCTTATATGTGTATATACATCCCTCTAGAAGGTGCTGCTTTTGGCACTTTGCCATTTAAAAGTTAGTCTCACATCTTCTTATTATTCAAAACCCTTGCAGCCATTGTTTCCTGGAGAAAATGCAGTAGACCAGCTTGTTGAGATTATTAAGGTATACTTGTTTTCTATTAATTATTCGAGTTAAAGATATAATTTGCTAGTCTTAAGTGCTGAAAGCAAGCTTTCTCATCTGCCTTTTCCTGTTCTAGGTTCTGGGCACTCCGACTCGAGAAGAAATTCGCTGCATGAACCCTAATTATACGGACTTCAGGTTCCCACAGATAAAAGCCCACCCTTGGCACAAGGTTTGTTCTTTTGTTTCCCTTGCTATATTTATGACATCTGCAATGTGCTGCATCTACCTCAGACTTACTCAAAGCTCCTTTGTCATGAAGCCTTTGATCTTATTGCTTTAAATTACTATTTGGGTTCAGGTTTTCCACAAAAGGATGCCCCCAGAGGCGATTGATCTTACCTCTCGGCTGTTGCAATACTCGCCAAGTCTTCGCTGTACAGCTGTGAGTTGTTCACTTTGATTTGGTCAAATGACTTTGAAGTATGTACATTGTATAGATCCTTAACAAGAATTTACTTCTGCCTGCAGTTGGAAGCAATTGCTCATCCATTCTTTGATGAACTTAGAGATCCTAACGTTCGCCTACCAAATGGCCGACCTGTGCCAACTCTCTTCAATTTTAAGCAGGAGGTATGATTTACATGTAGTTTCAACTTGGGTTCTCCGACATTTTACCTGTTTCCTTGAATACAAAGCACTCATGATTGAATCATTTGTTTTCCTGTGTCCACAGCTAAATGGGGCTTCTCCTGAACTGGTTAACAAGTTGATCCCAGATCACGTCAAGAGGCAAATGGGTCTAAACTTTATGGCTGGAACCTAATGTGGGTTAGGAGTGGGGTGGTGAAATGAATTCAGTAGTGTATCTGCCGGTGGTTACCCCTGAGATAATACGGCGGGGGCTTGTTAGCTTCAATGTTTCGACAAATGGTACTCACAGCTCTGCCTAACCCAGCACCATTTCTTCCTCCCTCCTGCCTAGGCCTGAACAGGATCAATGGACAAACAGCTGAATGAAAGGAAAGCTGGCAATGTTTCATTCTTCTTCTCCACGTTTTTTCTCTTTCCGTGTCGATCATCTCCATTTTACTTGTATGCTCTGTTCTGTTCTATTTTTTTTCTGTCTGTAAATGTCTGATAGTAAAAGTAGCCTTTATATAGCATGGGTAGCAGCAGCAGAGGTAAAACAATGAGCTTTTGAGAGGGAAAGTGTACTTGTAACTAGGATGAAGAAAGGCCCCCTGAATTTGGGATGGCCCTAAGGAGCTGAGGGGAAGAAGAAGAAGAAGAAGAAGAAGAAGAAGAAGAAGGTACTGTTCATTGGTGGGTAGGTTGGAGAAGGGTGGTGCTCGTTTGTTTTGGTATTTTCTGGTTCTTCCCTGCACTGTTGTTTTTCCTCTTTTGTATTCTGTTCAGTGACTTGAGAACATGCAACAATTTGTCACACTGTCTCGTCCCCAGACTCTTTCTGCAAAAAAAAAGTGTAATGAATCGTTATTGTTGTTTCTTCTTCTGTTCATAGTGTTCATTACTTCGTTGTATCTCCATTTCATTAGCTGTTCATAGTGTTCATTGTATCTCCATTCTCCAGTTACCTACTTTGGGAATGGCGGGTATGGAAGAGTGGTGGGGTTGTCGTCGGTACCGCCATGTGGCGGGGATTTCAAGGCGGTGGTTTGTTGCTGTTGAATCAAGGGCGTTGATTCCTTCAACAAAGTGTAGCGGAAATCGGCGGTCGTAAAGCAAGCAAGCAAGCAATCATCTTCTTGGGGGGGCCGGTAAGCAATTAAATTTGATATGGTTGAAGTTAGTGGGGGGGAAGAGACAAGGAGACCATCTCTGTCATTTCCCGGAATCTGGAGACTTTCTTTTTAAGCTCTTTTTGAAAACAGCTAATACTCTGGTCTTATCATCCTCAAAAAAATCTCAATTGGTTAAACTTCAATCCAAGAATCAGGGTAAATTAATTAATCAATAATCAAAATAGTGACGCAGCAGCTGGATGACAATTGCGCTCCAGAGGGAAGTCCTCTTCAATTATTAAGCCTTGTCTCTTGAGTCTTGACTAATGTGGAATGCTTCCTTCGAAAAAGGAAAAAAAAAATTCCAGAAAATAGCAGTTAGAACTTAGAATGTTGCGGGAAAGAACTGCATTAACCCACTGCTTGTCCTGTTTTCAATCAACAAAAAACAATTATAATGTCATTTTACTGCCCACGACAGCCTCACCTGCCGCGCTTCTCCCAATCCTTTTTGGTTTTCCTGGAAACTGGTTGGGCAGTAGCAGTAGCAGTCATGGTCCTTGTAATGGTCAATGTCGAGCAGATCATAACAATATCTCATCTCCCACCTTTTGATTGCTTTCCCATTTCCCTCTCTTTTCATTTATATCCCCAAGAGGGAATTACAGAGTTTCGGTGATTAAAAGCTCAGTAAACAGGTTTGGTTGTAGCTTATGGTTCGTTTGTTGTGTATTAGTGGCGCATTGATGGCGATGAAGAAAGAGACGAGGGACGAGTCTGGTGTAATGGCAAGTTGGGATTTGAACTCAGTTGATCCGTGCTACTTGGAACATGGTCGGTTGCTCCCCAGAAGGCTTTACCATGGTGCAGCCTATATGATACAACTTTATAGGCTCTGCTACTTTATGCAGGTAAAAACCTTGCAGGAGGAGAAGAAGTTGGAAATGCTGATAGACAGGAATTTGAAGGGGGTGTTTTGATCCGTCCGAGTTGGAAAAGGCTACCGAGTTGGCGTTGCAATGCACTCAATCGCACCCTGCTCTGCTGCCGAAGATTTCAGAAGTGTTGAAGGTTCTTGAAGGTCTCGTAGGGGCAGTTAGGCGTCGAGGAGCCACAAGCTGGAGGGTCGAATGCCCTACTAGGCAAGGCCTTTCAGTTCCTCGAGGCACCAAGGTGATATCCATGAAGCTTCTTCGTTCATCATTGAAGCAATGGAGCTTTCAGGACCAAGATGATTAGGTGTCGCATTTCGCTTCCCCTCCCTTTTTTCAGGATGGAGATGTAAATGAACTTTTTATGCAGACATAGAAATCCTTGTTGCTTGCGGATTGCTGTGTACAAAATGGTCACAGGTCAAATGATTGCTAGGGGAAGGTGCAATTGAGAGACCCTATAGTTTTTAGGGATTATTTCCCCAGTAACAATTAAAAATAATTCCCAGAATACATAACTTTTACAAAAATTTCCCAAACTACCAAAGTTTGACACGGTTCGAGTTCAATAAACTCGAACTACATCATAGGACAACGATTAAGAACTCGATCCACAATCAAATCGAGTTTTTAAAACTCAATCACGAGTCGATCGATTTTTCATGACTCGATCCAGCAGGATCGATGACAAAGGACTCGATCTAACCATATCGATTTTTAAGAACTCGATATAAATTGATCGATGCCATAAAAAACGATCAATAAAAACGACTTTAGAAACCTCGATCTGTATCTGCAGCAAATCTGCACCACATTCTTGCTGCTCTTATACTTTCTATCTTCTTTCTCCAAACACAAACTGAAGCAGCTGAAGCACCATAGCTGAGCAAAGAAGAAAATTTTTGGAGGTAAGTTATGCTTATGTTGTTGAATGAGCATATTAGAATTTTGGATTAATTTAGTATTGTTTGAACTGTATGTAATGGGCTGCTTCTATAAACTGCAGAAATGGGTAGAAAATTTCGAAAATTCGACCTATTGATTCGGTGGAATGGTCGAATTACACATTTTCAGAATAGTATTGACTACGAAGATGGTGAATCAAGTACTGTTCGGATTGAGAGCATATTTACTTGGCAAGAACTCAACCACATTTGTGCAGAACGATGTTGTATAGGAGGGCGAAGAGTATGCAAGATGACTTACCGTATGCCGGTTTACAAGGATTATGCACTTGTATATGAAGGATCAGTTCTGTCTGACGATGATGACATTAATATGATGGTGAGATTTATTGTAGAAAACAGATTTCCAATTGCTGAGGTGTATATCGATATAGAAGTTGTTGGCCAATATGGTGGTGGCGGTTATACCGAATAAGGTGAAGGATCGGGAGGGATTTCCGGTTCATGAGATTTCAGAGTTCTGCATGATGTACCATGGCCAATATATGAGGATCGAACTGCACCTAGTCCATTGGTGGACCATGACGGACAAGAGTTGTCAGTATGGGGGTGAAGAATGAGATTACATAAAGGCACCCAGACAAGCATCTACACCAGCATCTGTCATCAACAATGATCCGTATGTGGATAAACCAAGTCATACGTACACTAGCGAGGCAAGCGACGTGGAAGATGAAGATTTAGAATCAATAAGTAGCTCAAATGGTGAAGATCTGGAAGTTGATGAGGGGGAATTTGAGCCCCCACACCTCACTACACGATGGTGCCACAACATCCTCTCTATGCTCACAACGACGATCCTGACCTCCCTCCTATACCTATATGGACTCCTGATTCTGGATTCATTAATACGCCCCTGGGGGGGTGTATGTTATCAAAGTCACGCAGCAACACGATCAATCCGAAGATTGAATGAACTCGAATCAAGAACAATGCGTTCTTAATACGAAAATTGGATAAAACGGAAACGAAAGGGAACTCTTACACCTGGAAGAATGCACAATCGTTATGGTGAAACTTTCGATATAATCGAGTGTGATTTCTCGATCAATAAGCAGGTCAGCAAGTTTTGATCGCAACCAAAACCCAAGAACAAGTTCGCAAACTTGAACAAAACCAAAACGGTTTCTTTTTCGATTAATCAACAAAGTCTAACTATTACAACGAAAACTAGAAGGTATTTAAAGGCGAATAAACCTAATACAAACCTAATAGAACTAGGAAACAATTAAGGTAAAAGTCTACACTAATAAGGACACAAAATTCGGATTTAAACTCCTTTTCTTCAAGCGCAAGTAAGCTGCCAGCAAACAGTCCAAAAGCAGCTTTCGTTCTAACTTCGCGCCTTTCGTTCGAGGCCTTTCAGAAGTCCAATTCTTCATCCAATTCTTCATCCAATTCCTTCCCTTTGTTCACAAACATACCTAGTTTCATGTTGAGGAAGCCTTTGGACTTGAATCAGATCCATACTCCTCGAATTAAGCTCCAAAGTAGGCTTCACAAAACAGTTTCCAGACTTAAACCATTTTCTGGCAGTTTTCCAGTTTTGAGGTAGCAACTTTGAGGTCTTGGAAAACAACCTTAATGACATCTTCTGAATCCATAAAGCATACCATTGGAAACATGGTAACTTTATATGTAAAACAAACCCTTAAACATGAATTTCCACCAAGCCAATTGAGAGAACCATGCCTCCAAAGTATGTACCCTGAACACGGATTTTGACTTAGCCAAATTCTGCCTTTCTTCTTCCCAACTTCGACAGCTTCTTTGTCAAGTAATTTTGACGTGAATGGTGGTCCATTTGGGATCATATCATTCATGGTTGGCCAAACATTTGTAGGAAAGCCTCAGGTGGTTGATGCATTGAAAGAAACTGCTAGAATGTTGCGGGAAAGAACTGCATTAACCCGCTGCTTGTCCTGTTTTCAACCAACAAAAAACAATTGGGTCGTTTGGACGAGGAATTGTTACGGATCAATTTGACACAATTGTCTTGTTTGGAGACAATTGTACCAAATTGCCTCGTTTGCCAGCAAAAAATTTGGATGGATCAATCCGCCTGAGGTATTTTGAATTGATATGTTTTGAGTCAATTTCAATTACCTGGGGTGGGGACAGGTAATTCGAATTGACTCGTTCGGACAGGTAATTCGAATTGACTTGTTTTAATTGCCTCGTTTATATAACGAGCAATTGATTAAATTGACTCATTTCTAGATTGATCCATCCAAACGACCTATTGTAATGTCATTTTACTGCCCACGACAGCCTCACCTGCCGCGCTTCTCCCAATCCTTTTTGGTTTTCCTGGAAACTGGTTGGGCAGTAGCAGTAGCAGTCATGGTCCTTGTAATGGTCAATGTCGAGCAGATCATAACAATATCTCATCTCCCACCTTTTGATTGCTTTCCCATTTCCCTCTCTTTTCATTTATATCCCCAAGAGGGAATTACAGAGTTTCGCGGTGGGCGTAGGTTCTAGTCCTTAAGCTTTAAAGCTTAAGGAGTTTCTTAAACTAATCCTGGCCATTATATTAAAACGTGGTAGTTAGGGATTAGTTAGTACTTAGTAGTTGTTAATTAGGTAGTAGTTAATGAGGGTAATTAAGGTATTATAATAAAATAAAAAGTAAAACTAATATAATAAAAAAAAGAGTAATTAAAGTTTCCTTCGGCTGTAGGTTATATATATATATAATTAGATTTTTTTGCCCGGCTGTAACTATAACCATATTCCTGACAGTACTTTGGTCGGACGTGCACCAGCAGCTTGCCGGCGGCCATAGCTTTCTTCTGCAGCAACACCACCGACGTCGGCGTGAAGCTCCCCTTGCTTGGACGTCGGACGTGAGTTCCTGCTCCGATCGGCATCTTTGACGTCAAGTTGTATTTGCTTTGACTTGTGAAGATTTGGTATCGATTTATATTTTATTGGGTTTCAAACGATAGTTGTCAATTATCTTTATTGGTTTTCAAATGTTAAACTTAGCTAATACTCAGTAGTATACTTTTTAACGTCATTATCAATGATTCCATGGACGTCATTTTTCTTGATATGGTGTACGTGGTAGTTATTAATAGTTTTTATTTTGATTATTAATTTTATTTTGGGTCATTATCTAACATTTTATGTATTGGTGAACGTTTTCAGTTGTAGGAATGGCTCGAACTAAAAGCACGTAACGTAAGACGGTTTCTCATGAAGATAGAAGTACAGTACAACCTTTAGTAGTAGAGAACAATAATGATGGGAGATTAAGTATCAGGTGCAGCATGTCCCAAGTGTTGAAGATGGTTAAGAATATCAGTTCACATCGTGCTGCCTTTGCTTGAGGGATATGGATTTGGTTTCGTGCTAAACCTCGGCGTGCTCCCTTGAGACAAAACGACGTCCCCTCCATGTTGCTTCATCTGCTGGATCCACCCGATCCTTCCCTGCAGAGATCAGCCAGAACCAGAATTATATTATCAATTCATATTAACATGATTAACAACCATTTCCCTCGCATTATCAACTTTACTACACGTACATAGTAACAATATGATTTTTCACTTAACAATGGCATTACCTTGTGCTTTAATGACGTTCTCGTGATATGCAACGTCGATGATCAGTACATAACTTTCATCATTCATGAACTCCTCGTTCCCAATCCCTACTTATGAAACATGCACCATCAACCACACACAAAAACAAAAGACATAATTTGTTACCATTTTAATATTTGGATTGACAACATCCCACCTTGCTCTCCCTCAGTGGACATCCGTACCGGCGCTTGCCGTCCCTCCTGATAATTACCAACATCGATGTTGCCATTATAGTGTCCCTCCAAGTTCTCATCGAAAGGCATTTCATTCAGATCTGCGTCATTGATTATATCAAATATTTCGTTACCACTAATTCTCCTACATCAACCAGAACAATAATTATAATCAACCATCATTGAGCATTATTAACCATATATCGTAATATCATCAACCAGCTCCCCATTATTATTAACATTTTTTAAGTAAATTTGAGATGCTTATTAACACTATTATTAATCAATCACAACATTATTATTAATATTATTATAGGTGTTATTAATCGCAAAAGGGGAAATATCCAATTTTATAAGGTTATTAATAATATAATAATCAATTATTAATAAATGTACTTGTTGTTATTAATTTAGTCGAATTCTATTTTTAAACGAACATATTATAAATATTATTAAAGGTGTTACTATTACTAACGTTTTAGAGCAAATTGGAGATGCTTCACTTGCCAAAAAAAAATCCCTCCACGTGTTATGCTAATTATTAATCAATCACAATATTATTATTAATATTATTATAGGTGTTATTAATAACAAACGGACAATGACGAACCAATTCCAAAAACAATTAAGGTTATGTTTTTTCTAGTTAATGGGATTAACAAAGATTTAACCCGAAGATATTAATATTTACCCACAAGTTGTCAACAATATATTATATTGCACGCATACATGGTTATCAACCAGATTATCCGTTATTATTATGCATGTGACATACCATTATCAATAAAACAAGGCAGTATTAGTGTTTGTATTTGTTGACACCTAAAATTAATTTGGCCCAAATTAAATGCCGTATTAATTAGTCTCGGCATTTAATTCGATACCGCGGGTAAAAAACGGTGTCGAGCGGTGTCGCGGAGAGTTAAAACGGTACCGCGAAACAGAAAGACGGTACCGCAAGGAAGCTCTGCGGTACCGCGGCATGGAAAACGACACCGCTTGATGAAAATAAAAGAAGGCCGCGCGTTTAATGAAGGAGGAGGAGTTTTGATTATTGAATTATTATTTTTATTAAGCGGCACCGTGGGGAATTAAAACGGTACCGCGAAATAGAAAATCGGAGCCGCGAGGAAGCTGGGCGGTACCGCGGAACTGGAGAGGGGCCGTGCAGTGTAGGTGTTGGGGAAGGAGTTTTGTTTATAATTAATTAATATTTTTATTCCTAGTTGGAAGGGGAAAATCGGTACCGCATGGAGATAAGCGGTATCGTGGAGAGTTAAAACGGTACCGCGGCTTTAAAAACGGTACCGCGAAAGCCTGGTAAGCGGTACCAATTAATTAAAAATCATATTGGGCAAGTGACCAAAATTCGCCCGGCCCAATGAGAGCGCCGACTGCGGCGGTTCCATGGATTAATATTTTTTAGCTATATCGGCGATGTCGTTTAATTCAAAACGGTACCGCGAGTAAGCCCAACGGTACCGCTGTATTAGCAAACGACAGTGTTTAATATAAAACAATGTCGTGGAGTAAAAAAGCAAACAGAGCTGTTTGGGGGAGAAAACGACACCGCAAGGCTGGAAGCGGAGTCGTTTAATATTAAAACGATGTCGCGGGTAGAATCAAGCGGAGCTGTTTGGGAAAGGAAACGACATCGCGGGATCATGAAAACAATTCACGTAAAGTTCACAACGGAGCAGTTGAGGAAGCGGTTCCACCGAGCGTGAAGACTACGAAGCAGTTTTTCGAATAAAAGCAGTGGAGCAAGGAGAGAGAAAGGGACAACCAAATCAACACAGATCAACTCTGTCAAACTTATCTTTTTCTCTGTAACTCCTTCGCGGAGCTCTCCTTCCAGGAAGGATCTCCATAGTTGTAGTTTTAGTCGTAGTCGCGGAGCTCTCCACAGGAATCTCCATAGGAGTAGTCGTAACGTAGATTCCTCAAAACTCAAACACCCTCGTTCGAACGTAGTTTGGGGAGGTGCGAACCGTAGTAACGGTCGTTCTTGGTTAGAAGTCAGAGGTGAATCGATTAAATCAACGACGCCGACATTAGGTGGCGGATATTTGACGGTCACGTCGATTTCACCATTCAGAGGTGCATCGATCAAATCAACACCGCCCGGTGGATATTTGACGATCGTCATCGATTTCAGCAATCAGCGGTGCATCCGATCAAACGGCACCGCAAGAGTTTCCATCGCGAAACATCAAATCAACATCGCCGGAAACGAATTCGGCACCGGCGGTGGCATTTGGTTTTCTCGGGGAAACAGTATTCATCACTCGACAACATACTGCAGGATATACCAACGCAAAACAATATCTCCATACCAATCTGCAGCGGCCATGACGGTTTCATGTTGCCTCAAGAAAGGCGATGGATTCAATGACTGGTTGTGCGACACGGAGCAGTTGGTAGAGACGGCGGGGGCCGACGAAGATGCTATTTTAAGCAACGTCGCCGGAAGCGGGCTGTCAGGGGACGGAAGCTACGTTCTCTTCAGGGACTGCCGTAATCTTCAGGATGAGACCACTGAAGCGGGCAACGACGCGGAAGCAGGCTGTGCCGGATGCGGAAGGGGGAACCGCCGAGAAGATGGCGGCGATGGGTACCGTCTAGGGTTTGGGAGGAGACCCTTTTTCTAAACTGGAAACATGAGAAGTTACGGGGTGGAGACCCTCTTCTGGCTAAATTCCATTTTAATTATTAATGATACTAATTAATTATTATAATCACTAAAGTAGCCTTCTAGGTAGTTATTCAATCATTAACTCTCGCTTTCTCTCTCCTTCTCCTATTGGCCAGCAAATGTTTAAGAAACTCCTTAAGCCTAGAGGCTTAAGGACTGGATCCAACCCGGTTTCGGTGATTAAAAGCTCAGCAAACAGGTTTTGTTGTAGCTTATGGTTCGTTTGTTGTGTATTAGTGGCGCATTGATGGCGATAGACAGGAATTTGAAGGGGGTGTTTTGATCCGTCCGAGTTAGAAAAGGCTACCGAGTTGGCGTTGCAATGCACTCAATCCCACCCTGCTCTGCGGCCGAAGATGTAATTGCCCTACGAGGCAAGGCCATTCAGTTTCTCGAGGCACCACGGTGATATCCATGAAGCTTCTTCGTTCATCATTGAAGCAATGGAGCTTTCATGACCAAGATGGTTAGGTGTCGCATTTCGCTTCCCCTCCCTTTTTTAGGGTGGAGATGTAAATGATTTTTTTTTTTGCTCTAGACACAAAAATCCTTGTTGCTTGCGGATTGCTGTGTACAAAATGGTCACAGGTCAAAGGATTGTTGTAGTTTTTAGCATTTAGTGTTGATAAAATCAGGCATTTGGTTTCCTATTGTTATTGATGGAGTTAAAACACCTTTATCTAGGGGTGGGCACGTGGTGGATACGTAGGTGGTTAATTCACGAATTGATATCGATTCACCCGCAAATAATTCTCAACCCGCACGCAATAGGTGATTGATGTGGGTGGATTGTGGATTGGTAAATCTCCCACCGCACTTATGTGGGTGGATGGTGGGTCACCCATATGACCCGCATCATATTTTTACATGAAAAAATGTTGTTTCTTATTGTATCGAATATTCATCATATTTTCGAACTGCACTACAGTCTGACTATATACTTCAAAAGTGGAGAATAAATAATAGTTTTGACTACTATTATTGGTCATTGTGTTGTGCAATATCCATTAGATATTGGATATTGGTATGCAGATTATTGTTAATACCCTATTATTAATTGTATCAAAATCACAAATTATTGATACAGTCTTACTAATTTGCTATGAACTTATTATAAATGTTAGATGTTTTCTTAATGGCTAGTTGGAGAATTATTTTTGCGAGTTGACTCGCGATCCAACCGCACTCATCCACCCACCCAACCCAACCCGCAGAAGTTTGTGTGTGGATTGCGGATCACAATTATTCCACCCCGCTAGTAAGCGGGTGAATCAATTTGAGACCAAAACCCACGCAACCCACCCGTTGCCCACCCCTACTTTTTATCATTTCTCTACTAGAGGTTGTTGGTCTATCCAGGGTGTTATGCCAGATTAAAATGCTTAAATCTACACAATAAATAAAAGCCAAATGAGAAAACTTGAAGCCCCATTTCAAATTTTCTGCATCCAGAGTGAAAGTAGGAAGGATATTTTGGTCTTCACAATTACTTTTTTTATTCATTAAAAAGACACTTACTAAGATTCGAACCATGACCACTTTAAAGAAAAACAAAGATAATAACCAATCACACTAAGTACATTTGTTGTATTCTTTTAAATTAAAAACATATAATTGCAGAGAGCAAAAAACTCTTCCCCCATTTCAAATTTCCTGCTCCAGGAGCGTTTGTAGGAAGAGTAGAATAGGGAGTGTCAATTTTTTTTCTTTTTCCTCTGTGGAACGGGCCAACTTACCGTATACATGCAGATTTAAACGGGTCCAGGAGTGTCAATTTTTTTCTTTAAGTCCTTTTATTTCTCCGTGGTGGTAAAATATATATATGAAAAGGCAAAAACAATACTCCTTTTTATTTCTAAAAAGAAAAAAATTTAACAATAAACTAATGCATGGATTCTAATGGGCTAACCGCTAATCATAAAATAAAAAAGTTGAATGGGTCTGACCTACACGGGATTTGCCCATCAAGTAAAACAAATGAACATCATGAGTTTGTCATTCTAAAACAAGCTATTTTCTCTAACATAATATATATTATGCTATTATTTTATATCTTAGTGGCTAAAATATAATGTATTTTAAAGTTATTGAATGGTTCAACCTCGACCAACTCAATTAGTCCAATTTTTATCATTTCAAATATATATTATGTAATGATTTGATATCATAATGATTAAATTATAGTGTATATTATAGGGAATGGTTTGGTATTTGTTAGTAAAAAACTAAACAGAAAGATCTATCTGGTTATTTTTAACATTAAAACGTTCCTAAATATTTTTAGTGTCCTTTCGAAATTCTATAGTTTTATTCGCGAATCAGTGATGTGAAAATGGTGAATTGCAGTCATTTCTTTTCTTTCATTATTTTTTATTTTCAAACAGGCTGAATTTCAAGTTTTGGCCCGTTTTGATCAAGTCTAATTTATAATCATATGGTTCTAGATACCCTATAAAAATCTCAATCCAAACCAGTTTGGCAGGTGAGTCCGTGTTTACCACCATTTTCTAGGTATACAGGAACGGTGGTTCCTATCCCAAATCGTGTTGTTCATTCTTGATTTCTTTAGATTTTATCATGGCTTGGCAAAAAACCAGAAAGCACAATGATGAGAAGATGAAAGGTTTATAAAGCAAATTAATCGGCCAACGGGCCGAGTAAAAGCTAGCAACGATTGTGAGATGCTCATTTACCGAAAACCGGCGGAATAGGCGATTTTTTATTCGATTTTCTGGAATTCGGTTTCTATAAAACTTACTCAACCTCATCATATTACAAGAAACAATATTGTTTCACAAGGTAACAGGTACTTGATTTTGGTTCATAAGGCTGATTTTTTATTCGTTGCATCATTCATGTCTCTTTTCTACTAAAATTCACTATTTTTATCACGTATTTCCAAAAAAAAAACTATACAACAATAAGCTATGCACCCCATTACAGTATCCAATTTCATACTTCACCTTCGTCCGGCCAAATGGCCGGGGGCCACGCTAGTAGTTAATAATGCATAAATTTTCCTGTATGAATAGTTGTGATACATGCTGTAACAGCCTAACAGGTACATGTACCAGTATTAGCTGATTTTTGTAAACATACTCGTGGTGGCCATCAGCGGAGGAACTATTCTGAGAAGAAAGATGGTCTCTCTCTCTAGTAAACACCCAGATTCTTTCTTCGTCCAGAGAAGCAAATAAAAGCAGAAAAAGGAAAGCGCTTTTATTTGTTGGAGTTTGATACGGAGTAGGTAACGTAACGACGAAACCGAAAACCAGACTTGGCCCTCCCCTGCCTTTTCCGTTTCTTTCGCGGGAATTCCCTCTTATCTTATCCTTTTGCATTGTTATTGGGATTCAGTTGCTTGTGACAAGATTAGCTGGATGACGACGACCAAGGCGCCGGCGAATTCCTCGCAGACGTGGGGTTTCTTCCGTGAAGGGAAGTAAAAACAAAAAAAAAAAATCATTTTCTGGTTCAGCTTTCTCTTCTACGGATACGGCAAAATAGATTGTAGAAATGGGTCGAATGAATGGAGGAACTGGTCCAAATTCTGAGAATGGGGTTGCTTTGGAGATGGGTAAGGAATCATCAGAATCGGGGAAGGCATTGATTGGTAAGGGGATAAGTCGGGATTTGACTGATTCTCTTCTGTTCATCGAGCTCCATAGCTCGGCCGCCGTAGATTCTAGCCAGTCGGCGAGTGTCAGTAGAGGAAACAAGAATTTCGAAGACGAATTGCGGCTCGCTGTGGTTGCGACAAACCAGCAAACAGGTGGTGGGCAAGGAGACAATGAGGCATTGGATAAAGGCGAGCAGGGAAGCCGCGGGAATCACAATGCAGACGGAGATATAGTTGTGCCCAACACGGAAATTTCCATGGGAAACTCCTTTGAGGAAAGCTTGGTTGTCAAGAGCAACAAGGCAGCATCGTCGTCGGCGGGTGATTTGAAGGAGTTACTGCCAAAGGGGGAGAAGAAGACAGCATGCGTGATTGATGTCAAGTGCGATGTTGGGAATTTGAAGGATAGCTGTGATGATGGGGAGAAGGTTTGCAGGATTTGTCATTTGAGTTCTGATGGGTCAGTTGAAGTTGCCACTGCTGGGCCTGTGACTTCCATGGAGCTCATTCAGCTTGGTTGTGGATGTAAAGGTGAGCTTGGTGTTTCGCATTCTCACTGTGCCGAAGCCTGGTTCAGGCTCAAAGGAAACAGGTAAGCACTCTCTTGTCTATATTTAGGGTCTCAGGTATTGTTTGAACCCAGGAAATGTTTTGAGTAAAGGAGACATATTGTTGATCTTCCAAGCTGCTAATTCTGACTAGTGATTTTCAATCATCCCAAGTTGTATAGAATTGCAATTTGCAAAATGTTCAGGAAACCAACCGTTCTTCGGGGTTATCTGTCCTTGTTGCTGTTATCTTCTGCCATTTTGTTTCCTGAAATCTGAGTTCATCATCTCTTGGTATATCTGAACCTAGAATCTCTAGCCAGGAGGCTGACAAATTCATAAATATCATGTTCGACAAGTGAACTTAAAAGCTGCATTGACAGTGACTTGTGGGAGATATCATGCTGCCACAATACGAACTCCAATTCGTGTTCTCGTACTTGCAGGGTGTGTGAAATTTGTGGGGAGACGGCGAAGAACATAACAGGACTAGTAGGGGACAGCAGATTGCACGGAGGCTCGTCGGAGAGAGGTGGCGGCGGAGGGTGTGGGAGTGGACAACCTTTCTGCAACTTCCTGATGACGTGCTTCATGATCGCCTTCGCCCTGCTATGGTTCTTTCATCTAAATATGTTCTGAGCCATGCTGCTGCTGCTGCTACCAAACTGTTGGCATTCTTTCTTCGGTTGGCGAGAGGCTGGGAAGAGCTCAGGAATGGATCTTTCTTTTGGTCTCCTAAGAGGGGAAATTTGTGTATAGCCTTGGCAACAACACTTACAGTTGGTAGTTTGTTTTTTCATTTTTGTTACATACGGCAGCATAGAGTACTGGAAGAACCTGAACCTGTTTTGGTTCTTTTCCTTTGCTTTGTTATTTAACGCATGGATAGTGGAATGCTGGAAGCTCAGATAGACAAGCAATATCAGAACTACAGAACAGTTGGTATATATAACTATATAAGTTTGGTTATAGATGAATGCTAGTACGATTTTCTTCACTTCTCTGTTATTTCCCAGGATCGTTTTACTGAAATTGGCAATATAAGAGCAATCCAGATCGAGTATGAACTGGCAAGTGATTGTGGCTATTAAAAATTAAAAAAAACTATTTAGCACATCCATCAACAATCCATTGTAGTCTAGTTGGTCAGGATATTCGGCTCTCACCCGAAAGACCCGGGTTCAAGTCCCGGCAACGGAAGATAACATTTTTCTTTTTTTGCAGGCTTTTTGGCCCACTTTCAAAGCTCACTGCTGGGCCGGCCCACAATGAAAACCCTAACCCTAGTCACCCCCATTTTCGTATAACTCCTTTTTCAACTGCTCAGTTCTCTCGGTATCGGCGGCAAAGAGGCATCACATTCTTCTCTTCCTTCCTTGTTCTGCATTCCTCGTAATCTCATCGCCGCCAAAATGGTATCGCTCTCCGTCTGGTTCTCTAGCTTGATTGGTATCCCATTACCTACTTGTGTATATGCTGTTCTGTTCTGATTCTCTCTGGTTCAAATGCTTGGTCACCTTAGGTTGACGACAAGAAGCTTTCCAACCCTATGAGGGAAATCAAAGTCCAGAAATTGGTACTCAACATCTCCGTTGGTGAAAGTGGCGATCGTCTCACCCGTGCCGCCAAGGTTTGCTTTCTCTCTGCCCGTTTTCGTTTGCTCGAGATTCTTAGCTGTTTCTTTTTCTGTTCCTGCTTTAATCATAATATATGTATTCACTGATTTTACTCGCAGGTGCTGGAGCAACTCAGCGGCCAAACCCCTGTTTACTCCAAGGGTATGATTGAAGTTACGATTTTGATAGCAATATGATTAGGAGTTGTCTTTGTTGTGGAGGGGTTTTAATGGGAGGTAGTACGAATTGGGTTTTTTGCAGCTAGGTATACCGTTAGGTCGTTTGGAATCAGGCGTAATGAGAAAATCGCTTGCTATGTGACCGTGAGGGGTGACAAGGCAATGCAGCTGTTGGAGAGCGGTCTGAAGGTGAAGGAGTATGAGCTCCTGAGGAGGAACTTCAGCGATACCGGATGCTTTGGCTTCGGTATCCAGGAGCATATTGATCTTGGCATCAAGTGAGTCTCTAACTTCTAATCTTACTTGGCCTGTTTCTCACCATTGTCTTAGAAAAGTTAAGGGTTGTGAATGGTGACAGTGAGAACGAATCAAGCTATAGATGCATTGTTATTGAGTAGGTTTCATGGAGCAAATCTTAAGTTTGTAGACGAAGAAATCGTAGGCTGTCAGGAGTTCAGAGTTGGTTTATGAAATTGCTTTGTGCTGCTACTAACCCACTTCTGAAATTGCATGATATAGACGAGAAATCTAATTTGAATATTAGGGTGTTACATGGACAAACTGTGTAAAATCATTCCCTTGAGGGCAATATTTGTTTTGAAGCTTTCCTTTTATGATTTGCGATGGATTCCTACTGTTTGTCAGCTTGGTATTCTGATTCTTCATGTTTTTATCTTAGTTCCTCTGTCATTCATCGTTCCTTGTTTAATGTCTTCCTCTGTGATTTATCTTAGTCTGTCATTATTGATTGTGCTCATTATATTATTTGCAGATATGATCCTTCAACTGGTATTTATGGTATGGACTTCTTTGTTGTTCTTGAGCGCCCGGGATACAGAGTGGCTCGTCGCCGCAGGTGCAAGGCACGTGTTGGGATTCAACACAGAGTTACAAAGGAAGACGCCATGAAATGGTTCCAAGTCAAGTACGAAGGAGTCATTCTCAACAAGGCCCAAAACATTGGAGCTTAAGTTGTTTTTCCCTTGATGCACTCAGCTTTTGGATAGTTGTATGTGTTTTCTGAGACTTGGAATGGTTTGAATGTTGATTGTGGGAGATTTTGAATTAGAGATAGAGATGTGGTTGTCAAATTATGTTCTCAGTCCAAGAATGGTAGTTACTTTGATTTCTTGAAACCTGTTTCTCCCAGCTTTCTCTTTTCCTTAGTCTTGGAAGACGCTATCTCGGTCTTCACCCAGATGCATGTGAAGAACATCATCTCATGGAACACATAAGCCTTCATCTTCACATGATCTGCAGATTCATTTTCTCTACTAGGGTGTCATTGATTTTTGTGCTAGTTGGGAAGTGCCCAAGAATTGATCAATGATCACATGGTATGTTACACAATGATGGAACCTAATTTTAGTAAAATAACAACATTCATCAATCATCACCACGATGGTTGTTGGAACTTGGAAGTGCCACTTAAGATTTGGTTTTTTGTTGCTTGCACTCATAAAACTCCAACATGATTTGAAGTGCCACTTAGTATAGTTTACGAAAATGTCAACAATCATGTTGGAGACAGCGGTCGATTGAAGATGTGTAGCAGGCTAATGCAACGAAGTAAGCACGCGTTGATTGCTCGCGTAAGTATGATAGCTAGAATTGGACATGGGAGAGCAAATGGTCTGGATTGTTTCTTTGACTAAATCAACAAACTCTAAAGACACAATCCATTCCAATATGGGAGACTTTCCAGAACAGAGTAATAACTCTGAATGGAAAACAGAGGGAATGCTCCATTGTTTCTTCAGAACCATCCATTACCAGTCTCTGTTTCAAGACCTTCCATTTCATGTTCTTTCTCAACGTATACATTAATAAACAAATAGTGGAAATCAGCCAAACAAAAAATCGTATCCAATGAACAGAATCCTTCAATGATCTATAACAGCTCTAAAGAACAGACAAACAGAAAAGAAAAAGAAAAAAAAAAGTGCACACCTTTTCTGGGGGTTTCAGGTGCATCTCTTCGCTATAAGAATAAGGAAAACAATGAGGAACACAATGGAAGAGAGGGCAATCACAAGCCCCAGAAAAACCTTATTCGGCCCATGGTGTCCCTCTTTCTTGCTGCTCGATCCGCCGCTGTCGTTTCCATCGTCGTAATCCGACGAATCGCCGTTATCCCCTGAAGTCAAATCTTTCGACGGTGGCGGCGACATGGGTCCGTGCTTGTCGCACTGAGCAATCCCTAGCTTCAACTTGGACGACAAGCTCGTGTGGTTGTAGCACAAATTGTCATTACCCTTAATTTTGAAAACTTCCAATCTCTCGAGAAACGAGGCATTGAACGGCAAAACGCCACGGAAGGCATTGTTGGCGAGATTCAAATGCTTGAGATGCTTCATCTCGGTGAAGAACTTGGGGATGGTGCCATTGAACTGATTCGAACTCAGATCGAGATGCTCCAACCCTGGTATAGCCGAAATCGAATCCGGGATCGACCCGGACAACGAATTAGACGCAAGAGACACATTCTTCAGCGAAGTCAAATCCCCGAAGTTCGCCGGCAGCTCCCCGGCGAGCGCGTTGGAGGAAAGATTGAGGCTTTCTAGATTCTCGAGTACTGCAATTGAACTGGGTATCTTCCCTTTAAGCCCGTTCCTCGACAGATCCACATGGGTGAGATTCTCGACCCAATGCTTCGGAATCGACCCCGTGAGATTCGCATTCGTGATGGTGACCGTCCGGAGCTTGTGCATATTCCCGATAACGACGTAGAGCCCGCTGGCGTTGACGGGGACGTCGGTGACGGTGAGATCGGTGAGGTTGGCGAAGCGGGAGAGCCAGACGCCCGCAAGGTGTTTGAGAGAATGCGCACAAGAGAAGGAGCGGAGGTTGAGGGCGAGATCTGAAGGGAAGCGGATTGGGGAAATGGGGCAGTTGGTGAAGGAGAGGGATTGGAGGGTGGTGGAGAGGGACTCGAGCGCGGTGAAGGAGAGGGAGACGTCGTCGGAGCAGTTGGAGAGGTGGAGGGAGACGACGTGGCGGAATGGGGCGGCGGCGTCGCAGGTTGTGGCGGCGTTGTTTTGGGCGCAGGGGTCTTTGGCCGTTGGGATGCTGAGTGACTGCAGGGCTCGGAGTTGCTTTGGGTCTAGCGTGGAGTGAGATGAAGTGGACGGAGCTGGGATGGTGACCGGGGAAGATGGTGGGGTGGCAGCTGGAGCGACGGCAGTGGATTTGCCGGCGGCGGAGGCGGTGGCAGAGAGGGAGCAGAGGAGGAGGAAGAGAAGTAGTGGTGGTGGTGGTGACATTGTGAGGGGAGAGGGAGTGAGTGGAACTGTGGAAGTGAGGGAGATTTGCTTTGGGGAGAGTGAATCAGTGAGCTTTTTGTAGTATGTGTGCTTCTAAGTGGAGAGCTGTGCAGGCTTTTCTGGGGATGGGAGAAATTTGCAGAAGAGGAAGGTGAGATTAATGGAGGTGTGGTGGAGGAGGGAATTGTTCGTTCTGTTCTGTTCTGTTCAGTTCTGTTCTGCCCTTTGGGAAGTCCAGAATTTGCAGAAGCTACAGCTTAGCTAGCTAGCTGATCGTTCTGGCTTTTGTTGATCTGACTAATGATTTCTAATCATTTCAGGGTTCGTTGGATCATGAATTTGGCCCAAGGATTTGTTTTGATTTGAGTATAAAATTGATGAGCTGTGAGGGTATAAAAAGTGGACTTGCTGGGGAAAGAGAAGGTCAGGTAGTCAAAAGTTCAGCCAGTGAGGTGGTGTGGTCTGTGATCCAAGGCTAGGTATTTAAAGCATGGATTTAATTAATTGCTACATGCTTTCTTCCCCTTAATTTTATCAGTTAATGGAAAGAATCGACATGTCTCGAACTCTATTATACCATTTTTGTACGGGTTAATACCTTATTCTGGCCCGAATTATGATCATATAATCAACTTTGGACAGTGGTTTGAGAAATTAACATCCTGGCCCGAACTTTGCAGCATATAGACTCAATTGGCCGAAAACATGGTTTGACCGTTTGTTTAGACGGTCAACACCATTGACAGTTAGTCAACTATACAAGTCACCGCCATGTCACCACCAAAGAAAAAAAAATTGAATTTGAATTTTCTTTTATTATTTCCTTACCTAATTTAAAAAAACAAAAAAACAAAAAAATCGGCCACCCCTCGCCGCTTTCCTTCTTCGACCAAAACCAAAAAAATCCCTGACGAGCAGCATTCTCCCTAATTCAAATGAACCATTGGAAGCACCCACCGTATTTCCCAGGAAGGTCTTCCCTTTGAAGATCACTTCCACCTTCAAGGTCAGCCGACAAAGCTCCACCAGCGCCTCCCTCACCGCGTTGCTGTCGTAGAACACCCGTTGCAGCCCGTCGAGAAACCTGAACATCGTCGCGAACTCGCCGTCCCACCGAATGGAGTCGGGAATGGGACCGGCCAACTGGTTCCTGCCAAGCAATGCTAGGCTGAGCATTTTCAAATTTCCAAAATCGGTTGGATCCGTCCGTAGATCTAGTCGTTGTTCAGTTCGAGATGATTCAAGCACTCCAATTTGGAAATCGAGGCCGGGATTTCCCCCGAGGTTCTGTTGTCGGCGAGATTGAGTACCACGAGGCGGCCGAGGTTGCCGATCTGGGAGGGGATCTGGCCGGAGTGGTTGTTGCCGACGAGATCCAGGACGAGGAGGTTCGAGAGCGAAGAGACGCAGTCGGGGATCTCGCCAGAGAGGCTCTTCCAGTCAGCGACGATGAGCGTGGTGAGCTGGAGCTTGCAGATGGCGGAGAAATGGTCCCGGTCATGTAGTCGGAGGTCCCCCAACTTTTGTGAGGATTGGATCCTCCGACTCGCCGCGGAGGTTGATTTCGGTGACGCGGCCGGTGGCGGGGTCGCAGCTGACGCCGAAGTAGTTGGTGAATCAGAAACGAAGAAGAGGGAGCTGGGGTATTGCATACCGAGAGTGTGGGCTGAGGGTTGGGAAAGGGATCGTCGGGGAAGAAGGGGTTGGGTAACGATAAGGCTGTGTGGGTTGAGTGAGAGAGAGAGAGAATGGGGATTTTATTTTATTTTATTAAATTATTATTTTTCACATAGCATCCACGTCAGCGTAGCATGGTGATTCACTAACGGTCAATGATGTTGACCGTCTAATTTGACGGAAATTCGCGATTCGGGCAAATTAAGTCTACATGGTGCATAGTTGAGGTCAGAATGTTAATTTTTGAAACCACGTGTCAAAGTTGATTGTATAGTCATAATTCGAGCCAAAATAAGGTGTTAACCCTTTTTGTACAATGAAACTTTACATTGAGCGTATTTATGGGTTTTGAGGGTATCCACTTCATACCAGCTTCAATATCACTTCGACATCTAATACAACTAAGTTGTAATAACAAAAGAGCACATTAGTTAATTGAACACAAAACACACATTGAATTATGCAATCACATATATGAGTGTACATTTAATTCGTCACACTTTTCTTTGATTCACTACTCATTCATAAGAACTCGATTCACTTCTCATTCTTAAAAATTCGAATTTAAATGATTGTTAGTAGAAATCAAATCACTGAAGATTTTATCCATAATTTGACAACAATACAAAATCTTCCACTAAACCCAATCCCTCCCTCTCTAAAACAAACAACATATTTCTCAGCATCAAGGATACAAATCCTTTCCCCGCCAGGATTACGTGGGTCATCACTCTCTTCAGCAGTCAATCGAGCTGCACGTTCCAGCAATCTCCATGGGATCAACCTTGTTAACAAAAGGATTGATCTTCACCCAAACCAGCGAGAACACCGACGCCAAAAGCACCGACCAAAGCACCACAATCGTCGGCGTCCTGTTCTGCCGCCCCATCAAACCCTTCAAAAACGGGTACAAATGGAGTATAACCCAGAACGCGAAGAACACTTTCCCGAACAACGGCCCCCACGCCTCGTAACCCTTGTTCAGCGCGTCGGAGAATCCGGCCACCACGCCGACGATGTTCACGATCAGGAGGGTCGTCGGAGGGATGAGGACCGTCGTCCATTTCACCATGTAGAGCTCCCCGAACTCTGCATCCTCTGCCGCCTTTGCCGTGACCGTGAAGTTCGTGTCGATTCCGGCCAGCATTTTCAGGAAACCTTGGAATACGGCGAAGAGGTGGGCGGACACGCCGCCGATCACCCAGAACTGCTCGTTTCGCCACAGATCCTCGATCCCGACCCCGCTCCATCGCAGCTCGAGGACCGCGGTCAGGATGATCGACATGAAGAGGCCCAGGAAGAGCACGCTCGCCAGGTTCGACAGCTGCCAAATCGATTAACAACTCGAGTTATTAACATCAAATGTAGTCAAAATCATGCACTTGAATGCTTTAAAAGATTGTGCTTTTTACGGTTCTGGATCACCAAAACGCTTCTACGAGCACAATCACACTTTCCTCCTTTACTAATGTAGTCAAAATCGCGCTATAAACCTTAAAAACTTACACTTTTACTATGTTAGGTCACCAAAACGCTTCTACTTATAAATCACGTTTTTTTACTACGTTGACTGAAATTGTTTAATTCTTAACATGGTATTAGAGATGGTAAGACCAAACACTAACCGTCGTGTGTTCAAATTTCAACGACCTCCAATATTAACGATTATGATTTTTCTTCTTACCGTTGGAATGATGAATTTGCCGGTGAGAAGGCAGATGGCGGGGATCAAGCAGTAGGCAATGAGAGGAAGGGAAGTGAAAGGGTAAACAATGGTGTTGATGTAGGCAAGTCTCTGCAGCCATTTGAGGCGGCCTCCTCCAAAGCCATACCAGAGTGGACAATGTCTGCTCAAGAAGATTTCAACCGAGCCAAGCGCCCATCTCAGGACCTGGTGAAGCCTATCAGAAAGATTGATTGGCGCAGAGCCTTTGAATGCTGGCCTCAACGGCATGCAGTAGATGGATCTCCACCCACGGCATTGCATCTTGAATCCAGTTAGGATGTCCTCTGTCACGGATCCGTATATCCAACCAATCTGGAGGAAGAAAAAACAAGTGAGTAAGATTCAGCATCTTGGTACAGTTTTGATCAGGAAATTGGGAGAGAGTTTATACTATACCTCTTTGCCCCACTCTGTCTTTTCTTCATAGCTGCAGCTGATGACATGAATTGCCTCCTTGATGAGTGCCGATGAGTTGACGGATTCAGGCACCCCTCCGTTCTCCATCAATGTGGACTCGATGAAAACGGAAGACAATCCGAAAGTTTTCTCGAAGCTCCTCTGGGACATCAGCATTGATCTCTCATACTCATCATAGTCTGCAGAATAGATGAGAGAGTAGTGTCAGAAAAAAGAACCAAACTTTAGTAGAGTAGTTGTACATATAGTTGTTTTCTTCTGCTGCAAGTAACGATTTCATTCGAGTTTTGGAATGCGACTCACTGTCAATCTCATGAAGATTGAAGATGGCAGCATTGAGCTCCTCCCTTTTTGCGTCTTTGTAAACCTCGGTCGCATCTAACTCAGCCTTCTTCTTCTTCGTTGGGCAGCAGCAAGAGCAACAGCCGCACCACGAACATGATGACGAGGAGGAGGAACTCTTGGTTAAGGTAGGCATTGAAGGAGGTCCATACCCATAAAGTGCTTGCCTATTGAAAACACAACCTGTTCCCACATAAACTGGTCCTTGAATCCCATCCAGTCCTTTCATGTTAACCTGCAAAGAAAGAAATGGGATTCGACAACTGTCAAGACAACTAGTGCAGCAAGACTACAGCTACTTGCTGCAGAAGTACGCACTTACATCGAAGAAGACCACATTGCGATTGGCATACCGATCACTCTTGTCAATACCGTCGAATCTTTGAGGGAACTGAACATAGCACACATCTCGACCAACTTGCGGATCCATTAAGAAGCACATTGCCTCCCTAACTGCCTTGCTGTTGTTTACGTAGTGGTCACAATCAAGATTGAGGATGTAGGGTGCATTAGTGAGAACTGCAGAAACTCTCACCTGAATTGTGAAACCATATAAACTATTAACACTATACACGAATGTTTGAAAGTCGGTCAATGTAGAGATTTCAGCAAGAGAATCTAGCTACTTCGATACGTACGAGAGCATTTTCAGCACCAGCCTTTTTGTGATGTTGGTAGCCTGGTCTTTTCTCTCTAGAGACATAAACTAGACGGGGGAGCTCGTTTCCATCCGTATCTCGAGCTCCAGTGTTTCCGAGGAAGACCTGATTGGAGAAAGAGGGCCTTAAGAAACTTACAAGTTTTCAACTTTCATAGCTTATGACTCTTAAGAATTGCAAATAGTTAGTTTCAACCTGAATCATTCCAGGGTGGTCTCTGGTGTTATTTCCAGGCCACGGCGTTCCATCTTGCATAGTCCAACCTTCTTCAGGTGTTTTCTGAGCCCTGGCTACCATTGCATTCACTCTAATTTTGTACTCTTCATAGTCCCTCTGCAAAAAGACCAACTTTCAACAATCGAATGATCAACAAGTACATGAGTTAAATGCGTTGGAGAAATTTCTAGGTTACTTACCTTCATAGCTCTACGTTCTTTCACAAAAGAAGGCTGAACCTTGTCTTTCAAGTAATCAATCTTCTGGGAGAAGTAAAACTCAGGCGCCCTTGGTTCAATCGAATATTTTTTGCAGAACGGAACCCACTTCCTTGCAAACTCAGCTGTTTCAGCCAGAGATTCAAACGAGAGCATGGCAGCACCATCATCAGATACATAGCAGGAGACCTTCTCCACGGGGTAGTCCAAAGCCAGGATGGAAAGCACCGTGTTGGCAGTAATCAATGGCGGTTCTTTCAATGGATCGACTGTGCTCACAAAGAAGTCCACAGGAGCAAGCTCACATGGTTCACCGGGCCTTTCAAACCTGGGATTGAATAATGGAGTTGAGAAGATAAAATCCGGACTACATACTTAAGCTTGGAAGGGATCACTAATTTTAGTACCTTGCAGATAAGGTGTCCAGATATGTGACTCTGTTGATGGGAGACCACTTAGGGAACTGATCTAATACCCAAGAAAAGGCAAACCAGATCTCACAAATGACAGAAGTGAGCCAGAGACCGAAAGCACTGTCGACAGGATTCGTTATTCTGTAGTGGAAGAACAGACCAAGAATGACCAATCGCATTATGATCACAGCCCTATATGGTGTAAGCTTGTTTCGAGACATTGGAACGATTTCTGAAAGTGGCTGCTGCATTAAAGCTTCTCCAGGCCTGCACAATGGAGAGATCATTTCTCTAATAATGTCACTTGAAATGTTGTATAACTTTGAAGTGTTCTAGTCCTATATCTTTACTAATGCTACTTACTGCTTGTCTTCCATCTGCTGCTCAGGTGGAATCTCAGCTGGTGCTTGCTCAGTCTTGTTATTTTTAGCACCCTTTTTCTTCTTGTTATTCTTCTTATCCTTCCAACTCTCAACCCGGTTCTTCCAAATCGGGTTCCCGGATTCGTCGTTCATTTCACTGTCGATTGTAGACACAGTGCTGACGTGCCTAGCATGAATCCCAACATCCTGTATATAAAGAAAAAGCATCAGAAATTCAGAACACAACATTGTTTTGTTCATTCCCAAATGCTCACAATGGCTAATACCTGAGGCTGTGGATCACTGAGATGAGCAGCCATGGTGGATCGACTACCACCAGGTGGATTTTGGTCAGCATCATCATCAAGTAAATGCTCTGATCAAGACCAACAAAAATTAGCAGGAAATCAGCTCAGAAGTGTAAAGCTTTGAACTTCGATAACCATTTTGAAAAAAAAAAAATAGAATGGAGGAAGGTTACCATCATATGGGGAGCTACATCTCAAGCATTCTTTCCGGCCTTCCTTCGCCTCATACTCGACACAAGATCTGCACATTGGGAAGTTACACTCATGGCAAGCGACAAACAACTCCCCATTTGGCTTCAACCCAACGGCCTCGCCACAGGTGTCGCACACAGGAGCCCCGGGTTCCATCATCTTGCTTTTGCCCCTATTTCTTGCTAAAGAGAACCCCAGGTCAGCAATTACTCAGTTTGTGTTGCCATGATCCAGTTTTTATATTTAATAATCAAAATGCAATAGCAATGTGATTGCATTGCTCTAATGGTGAAGCTTTCATGGGAAGGTGAAATGGTTGGGTGGAGGTTGCAGTGTTGGTGTCATGGGTTGTGCAGAGAGAAAGGTGATGAGAGATTGAGACGAAGCAACGTCTATTTTTCCCACCCTCAAGAAAGGCAGAGATTGGGTTTCAAATTTTTATGCGGGAAGTTGAAGGAAAGTTAAATTTAGTTGAGGAGCCCCCATCCTTAGCTAACTCAACAGAAGAGGCTTTGTTCTCAAGTCCCCTGTGCCTGTAAAGAAACAGTACCCTTACGCTAACTACTTCACTGTTCATGTGTCTATATAATAAAACGGGCTGAAACTGGATTACAGAAGCCTGGGCACGTTAATATCCAAGTCAGGGTCTGGAGAAAGTCCACAGCTTGCCTGGTGGGGAGAAAATGGCAGTGCAATTGCAACAACGCCGACCACCGAGATCAAGATCCATGTTCAGACGAGATTATGGCGGAACAAGCATCTATCAGCATGAATGAGTGACTAAAGGCTCTTTCTTTCCTCTTTTCAATCTACAGTACACTTAAATTCAGCTCAAATTACAGTGTCCTATGCAGCTGTGACCGAGTCCTAAGCTTTGTCAGGATCGAGAAAGGGGCAAGATGAAGGTTAGTACTGGTGCTATTCTGCAACTAATACTGTTCATCTGCAAAATTGAGCATTCCAGGAGGAATATCAAGTAGATCCATCCTGCTTCAATCACTGAACTTTCATGGTACACAAAAATGGACACTTCTGACCCTGATCTTGAATGGGTTAAAGCTGTTTTCTCGCTGAGTACAGGACTTCATCCATATCTTGCCATACTCCAAAATGCCGATTCAGACTCCAAAATGCTGATCATGTAACGGAATAGACCTTCACTACTTTAGTTGTGTCGCATATGACAAGGTTCTCTGACTCAGTAGGAGTTGTACATAGCCAATTCACCTGTCAGATAACCAACAGCTCAGGTAAGGAATAGCCAAAGACAAATCACAAAGGGAAAGATGGCTAGTGATTTGGAAAACCCTCACCTTTTTGCTCAAACTGATGCTTAGATGTAGCAGCCCATTATTGCTGCCACCATCCTGCTGGACTGTCTCGCGTCGGGAACAATCCCACAGCTTTACTGACTTATCATTCCCTCCAGAAACTATGAACTTCCCCTTATCCCCAAACAATGAAAACCCGACACACGATACTGCAGCAGTATGGCCCCCCAACTCGTAATCTAAATGCAACCTGCTGCTTTGATTCGTGTTGGCTGTTGTTTCGCCGCTTGTGCTTGATTCGGCTTCGTTATTGGATTTTATTTGAGACCCTTTCTTAGCTTTTGCCATACTTTTCGACCTAATAGCAGAAGCAAGTTCTACTTCAATGTCTATCACATCGAGAACACCGTCACCCCTAGCTACTGCACATATCTTGCCTGCATTGTCGACCATATCAACATCTGGAACCGCTATTGCATGAACGAAAGCAGGATTGAGACATTGTGTTGTATTACTACTACTGTTAGAGCCTGCAGTCAGGGAAAGATTATAATAAGAGATTTTTTTTTTGGATGAAGGATTATAATAAGACATTAATCAAGTCAAGACTCAAGAGTATCATTAAAGGAGAGGAAACATAAAGTGGGTTTACATACCAAAATCAACAATTTTGACTGGGCGCCCTTTTGAGAAGTCCCACATAATGAGCTTTGAGTCAAGACCTCCAGTAATGACTGCCACATAACTTATGTTCATTATCAAAATAGCTAGGTTGCAGTTTTCCCACTTTTCAGAGAAGTGGAGGGAAACATGATTACACACAATTCTAATATTATAAAATCTCAGTTAAAATACCTTCCCATGGTCTCCAAGGGATAAACTGCACACTGCTACAGATCTAAGATACAGTTAAGTTTGAAGGAGAAGAAGAACCTCGAAATCAACAGTAGGGGTAAATGACACATTTGGTCACTGAGATTACTAAATCGTGTCATATTTGGTCACTAGAAAAATTTAATATCAATTTTGGTCACTTGAATTACTGACACATGTCACATTTGGTCACTCATCTGTAGCCTCTGTCCAACTCCGATCACTCGAATTATTGAAAAATGTCACATTTAGTCACTCGGATTACTGAAACATGTCACATTTAGTCACTCTACCAAAAGTTTCCGTCCAACTACATTAATGGAGTTGGACGGAAACTGACGGGAGAGTGACTAAATTTGACCAGTTTCGGTAATTCGAGTGACTAAAATTGGTATTAATTTTTTCTAGTGACTATACATGACACAATTTAGTAATCTCAGTGACCAAATGTGTCATTTACCCTCAAAAGTAGTTAATATAGCATATTTAAGGCAAAGAATTGGTGAAGGATACACTTGAATGGCCAGCCCGCAATGTTTTATACAGGCAATGCTGGTGAATGTCAATAATCTGTCATAGTTATAGCACTTAGTTATGAGTACTATAAACAAACCCAAGACTTAAAACACTGTAACTAGGGGTTCTTAAATAAATAACCTTAACATCACCAGCATCGTCTGTAGAAGCAAGGAACGCAGCCCTCGAGTTGCACGCAATCTGCACAGGTCACACACAAGCTTTCCAATTAAAACAGCTTTACACCTGGTAATAACATAAACAGACAATCTGCTGAGGAAAAAAATAAACTTAAGCTACTTTAACACAACTTGACAATCAGAATGCCTTTTCTTAACAAAAGATTGTCTCCTCTCCTTGCATCAAGAAGTTTACCTGATTTATCTCATCCTTGTTGTAGTTGTAAGTCCTCAATGGCTTCCAGTCATTGGCCTTCAGAGTACCAAACATACAATTTCAGAAAGTTAGTGAGGATGTACGACGATAAAGGCTAAACACCAAATCAATCTGATGATGTAAACGAAAACGTTGCCAGCAGACATTGAATTTCACCAACACTGATCCTCTCGCTTGCATAAAGAAAAAAACAAATTGCAGGTCATCTTTGTAATGCTTACCATGAGCACATCCAAACACTTAACTTCACTCCCGGAGGAAACATAGAGGATATCTTCATTTCCTGTCGCCATCATCCAAACAAATAAGCACATGATCCCCTCAAAGATTGAAACTTTGTAAACCAACCAGTTCACATCACATCATAACCTTAATACCTACTTATGTTGTAAGAATTCTAAAGCCTCTATACAGAGTTCTAACGAGAAACCCTTCTGGGTCATTCATTCACCTGGCTTGAAGCACAAGGACGAAATTGGTTGCTCCCCGACCTCCATAACGAACTGTACCTCTTTGCATCGCATATCGAACCAGCACACACGACCATCCTAAACCCAATAGACATAATAATAAAACAATGAGAAGTTTGCACTGAAAATTGCTCAATGTTTGGGAATAGTGGTTTCAGCTCAACTGCTACAGCTGAGACAGGGAAGGAGTGTACCTCGCCGGAGGTTACTACGATGCCAGGACGGTCGCGTGAGGCTATGCAACACGTGGCGGTGGCTTTGTGCCCTCTCAATCGCCTTGGCTCCGTCATCTCTGGTTGGTGATCGGCTTACTACTCCGTGGACCGTTTCTCCGACCTAGGAGAATTGCTTTGCTCCGTTATTTCCTTCTCCCGCCGGCGCTGGATTATGTTGGGCCTGACTAATTTTGATTTTGATCATGGCCCATTTCTGACGTCTAGTGGACCGAGCTTGTCCTAGAAGCCCAGCGCGTTGTACACAGCTTGCTTGTCATTCTATTGGGCTCAACATTTTCTTTTAGGCCAATATTATGGTGCCGCCATAAAAACTGCGACACCAGTGACGCTGATTTTGATTGGGCCACATGGAGCTGATGTGGCACTGGTTAAGTTTATACCCAGCCTAGACGCGGCTATCAACCGGTCGAAATCGCCATTGGGCCAAGTACTGGAGTGCTGTGTTGTTCCGTCTTCCCATCTCTGGTTCCGTTTTCCTTTTAATTATTTTTCCATTAATTCATTTAAAATGTTTTTTTCGAGCAACAAAAACAAAATAGGAAAAACGAAGCCCTGAGGCCGTTCGTCGTCTTCCTTGCTTTCCTGCTCCGACGGAAGGTGATAAGCAGTTCCACCGAACTTCTTAATCACTGATTCAATCTCGAGTCTCGAACATAAGCATCCACTAAACTCAACCGTCTTTCTCCTACATTTTTCATGAGAAAAGGAAATCGAACAAATCCCTCGACCGACCGGCACTCTGTCTCCGTCGAACTGCTCCGCCGTCACCGTACCACACGATCCAAAGAAAAAGATAATTTCCATCCCTCTGCGTCGTCCCTTGTTGGAAGCGTCAAATTTCGAATATGAAGTTCCTTGGAGGCAGCGGCTTTCTCCAACGAAGACTTTCAGGTAGTTCGGTCGTGTGTATTTTGAACATGACACTATTTCGGGTCATTTTAGTCTTGAATGTCTCTGGGTTTTCCTTTTGGCCTCTGAAGTATTAAGTTAGGATGCAGCAATAGGATCCTTGTTCTCAATATTCTTCCTTTTTCATTTGTCTTTCTGTCACGAGCAGCAGAGGATTCTCTGTCCTTGTTCTGCTACTCTATTTTTCTTCTCTCTATTAGCAAAATAAGAAGGCATTTTGTTGGAGTTTTATTTTTGCAATTGACCCTTCTTTCATTCCATGTTGCGTGTAATCGTGGGAGTTACTAGTTTGTAGTTAGTAATGATGCTTGGAAAGTCATTAATTGTACTTTGCTAGGCAGCCTGCTCATGAACTATAACACCCTTAGTGTCAAATGCCTGTCTTAATTGGTATTTTGTTGTAGTATGAGTTTTGTGGTTGGTTCGTAGTTAATAGCAAACGCTCCTTTAATTTGTTCTTGTGGTCCTTGTAGTTTCGATCGAGATCGGACATATATTGCAGCATTAATTTGATCCAAGACTGTTATTGAGGTATATTGTAGTTTCACTCTGTAAAACCAAAGCCAGTGAGCTATTGGACCTAACCTCTTATACTTGATTGATTATGTGCTCATTTCTTGGTCTTGCACTCTCCTGTCCTTCTGGTTTTTTATTATCATTCACAACGGAGGTAGTTTGGTGGCTGTGCCATTTTCCAAGCTCAACAGATAAAAACTGGCAGTGAGTTCATAAGTTATCATACCAATCAGACGATAACTACAACCTTGCAATTTATGACAACAGGCTTTCCCAATAAGCCAAAATGATGAGTTACCAGACAAGTGTCATCTATGCATGCCAAAGATCACTGATGGCTGTGCCACAGTGAGCATCAAGTTTATACCCAATGATAATGATTATAATAATTAATTAATTATACTCATACATTTAAGTCTTCTTTATGCATGTGTAATCAGGGTGACATGTGTGTGTGGGTTCTAACATGGAGGAACAAGGATAAAAGAGAGTGTGGAATGCTGCTATGAGAATGATCAAAGAGACACATGACATAAAGACGACGCAGGGAGCTACCTCCATATGATGTTGCAGTTCAAGGTTTCTGGTTTTGGTCCTTCAACTGCGGCAAGACCCAAAATGCACCTTCCCATTGCTTTCTTCGGACACACACAAGCATTGAGGACCTGGAAACAGGTGTACAGTGTGGGGATTCATACATATGTTGTCTTGGCTAATTATTGGATAAAATGTTTGAGAACTACTGACTGCATGGTAGATGACCACATTAGGATCTAATATCCGGTCCCAGTTCCATAAACCCCTGCTTTGGACTTCTTCATAGAAACATAAAAAGTTCTTCATATAACCTGCTTGATCGAGAGTGACGGCTATAGAATGATAAGCTACCAAGTCCGGATAGGTAGAGATGCGTTTTTTGAGACTAAACAAAAGTGAAATGTTTTGAATTAGCAGGACATCCTATATGCCCTCAACTCACTAAGAACGCAGTTGTGTGAATAAATCTGCGTTATAAGAAGACACATGGAATCAGCGGGGTTCAAATGCAAACTTAACCTCGATGATATAACTTTATGAAAGTAAGAACAGATAGGTGTACCAACACCAGCTTAAAATGAGGGTTAACAACTTTAGCATACTGCTGCCCTGATTCAGTGTCCCCATGGACATGCCTACACTTACCGTCAGTCTCCGAAATTCCAGTGCAGAGCGAGGGGACGCTGCAGCGGAGGGCGATTCACACCTCCTTTGCCTTCGTCGGTATCAGCAGAGTTCTTCGACGGAGACAGAGGGTCGCTCGAAACCAGGGATTCATTCTTTTGTTTTACACACAATCAATGGAGGAGGAATACAGTTAAGAACTTAGTGCAGGGTATGGAGGTGTTGATCGGTTCGCCGGAGCACTCCGCTCTTTTCAGAATCAGACGAGCGAGATATAGAGGAAGATGTTCATGGTGTTTGCTTTTTCGTTGTTGTTTTCTTTCAGGAGAATAATGAATGCAGTTAAATGTTAAAATAAATGGAAAAAGAAAACAATTAAACGATAAGTGGAAGACGTCCGTTAGTTTGACGGTAGCTGGGTTATGCCATTTCTAATGGGCCATTGAGTTTGGACCGATTTAATTAAGTTATACACATGCCACATCAGCTCCATGTGGCCCAATCAAAATCAGCGTCACCGGTGCCGCAATTTTTATAGCGGCACCGTAGTATTGGCCTTTCTTTTATCCTCTGGCCGTTAGCGGGTCGTTTGCTTCATGGATTTGAAAAATGAGGGTTTCGGTAAAACTTGGGTTTTGGAAAACCATGGATATATGATGGATTTGGTGGCATTATGGATTTGACCAAGTCTATTGTTTGCTTGTTGGATTTGATTATAGATTTTGTTTGAATAGATTTGTGGATATGAAATTCAAATTACCTTGTTACCCTTATCTTATCTAATTATATTTCTATATTTCATTAAAAAAATCCAACGCATACAGTGAAATTTTAAACTCTTTACCACTATGTGGACTAATAATTCAACTACAAATATAGAAATGTATTATAGTTTGGCACTAATTAACAACTCATCTAATAATGTACGCAATATTATGTATCAATTGCAACCAATTGCTCGCCTTATTGCTACAACTCATCAACTTCTTGCTAACTCCCCGATTTTGGAATCCGACAATCAATAAAATAATAATGCACAAGACGAGCATAAGATGTTTATAGTTGAATCTAACAAATCACATATACATTCATATTTAATTAAACTATGATATTACAAAACGAAATGAAAAATTCTCATATATATAAAATACGACATTATAAAAGTTTATAATTGCATGACCATTGAATTAAAGTAGGAAACTTTGTAATTAAAGTAATAAGTAAGGGTAGAAAGGTAATCTACCATCATGGATTTTAATCCATCACCCAAATCCCACCTCAAGAGGTGGAACTTCCAAGTCCGTGGGGTCCACGAATTTGGAATCCCAAAAGTGGCGGGACCCACAAATTCCATCTCCTTAATTCCCTAACAGCCTGTTTGGATGGACAAAAAACTCAGGAATTGGAATTCCATTTCCAATTCCATTTCATTATTTCATGTTTGGAATGGTAAGAAGGTTGGGAAATGAATTCCATTTGACTAAAATATTGGAAATTAGAATTCCTATCAAAAGTGATAGGAATTGGGTTTATGGAGATGGAATTAGTGGGACCCATTCATATTTATTATTATTTTATAATTCCACTATCTTATTTCTCTCTTTCTCTCTCATCCATATTTCATTTCCCAAGATAAAAAAATCTACTAAATCATTAATGATTGTTAAAGAATACAATTCATTTCCATAGTTGTTGGAATTATGCCAAACACAAATATTGGAAATGGAATTCCATAAAAGTTAGAATTGGGAATGGAAATCCATTTTCATTTCTTATGGAAATCCATCACCCAAATCCCACCTCAAGAGGTGGAACTTCCAAGTCCGTGGGGTCCACGAATTTGGAATCCCAAAAGTGGCGGGACCCACAAATTCCATCTCCTTAATTCCCTAAGGCAAACGATGGATTTCCGTTAAAGTCCATGATGGATAGATTTCCATGACCAAATCCATCATCAAAACCCTCAAGCAAACGACCCGCTAGATGTATTTGGACAAGATCTATACTATGTTGCCACTAGAAAAAGTGTGGCATTGATGTCGCAACTTGTGACATGGCACTGGTTAAATGTATTAAACCTCGCGTCAGACTCGATAACCATAAATCGGTCGAGATTGCTATTAGGGCTGGTATTCGGTAACCGGTATTCGGTATTACCGGGTATCGAACCGATTACAATCGGTATTCGGTATACCGAATACCGGCGGTATCGGTATTCGGCTGACATTTTCGGACAAACGGTATACCGAATACCGATTGGTTATATACCGACGGTAAATCGGTATACCGAATACCGAATTACAAAAAAAAAAAAAAAAAAAAAAAGAGGAAAACGCAGCGCAGCGCTGTAGTGGAATTGGGGAAGGGGAACCCTAATTCCGCTTTGCATCTGATCCCCGCGGCCCGCCCTCCAGCCTCCACCTCGTCTGTCGCTTTTCCTCTCCAAGACAGCCTCCACTCCATCCGCCTCCAGCCTCCTCAGTCGACGTTCGAAACCAGCCGCCCCAGTCGAAACCCAGCGGCGAGCCCCTGCATCCTGCGCCGAAGGTCGGAAGCGG